CTGCGCTCAGTCTGACATTCGGTTTCTGTTCAACTGGCCCATTTTCTTCTTTGTCTCTTTCTCCCTCCTGTTGTTTTTGTGGTTAAGGTATCTACCAATGCTAGGTCGTCCCTTTCTAGACCAGAGCTCAATTCATTAAATAATTCCTATCAGTATGATAAGCATTTATAATCAGCTCAAAGCTTCCTTAAGGAAAAGACCATGTTGAAACAACTTTCATAGTACATTAATAAAACTACTTTGATTAGTACTGGAGTGGGTGGAGTTATAAAACAAGGGTGGTCTTGTGGGGTAAGTAAAGGCTCCCTTCACAGCGATTAAGTATTCAACTGCTTGTCAGTTCATCATACTCAATTGTGTTTGGTTTTTTAACGTGCGGCCCCCAACAGGCCACATAACTGCAGTAATGAGTCTTGTAAAAAAAAAAAAAGTATTTTTTTAGAATGATATAATGAATAAGCGGGACTCTATAGCTGAATAATATACCGTAGTTACATGTATAGACTACGGCAAATCTGTGCAACTTGCTATTATAGAACCTTTTTGGTTTCTATGTTTCTATCCTGAATGAGCTAAAGAAAGACACTTAAACTGTCAACATTGAGCATTGCCTTAAAGACTCGGTAGGAAAGACGCTCCCTAGTAAACAGGTTAGAGCGGTACATGCAAATGAACTAACAAATTCCTTGCCTCAAATTGACGTCCCCAATAACGAGATCTATTAGCAGCATGCAAATGAGAGCTCTCGATCCCTTCATTCAGGGCCGGGGTTGCTGTCTATTTGCTTCATAAACAAAGTGCCCTATTGTAGCCCAAATGAGCCTTTCTGCAAACGACCATTGAGCAGGGACTCTCTGATCCCTCTCACTCCCCCATCCAAATGACAAACGATTGTGCTGGAATTGTCCCGACAACCTGAATCAAGTTAGCTCGAAAATGGACTTCTGCTGTATCCCGCACAAACCAAAGTCTTGTGAATAGTTTATTATCAATATTAAGGAATCCGCTCCATCCATCCATCCATAAATAAGACATAAATAAAACCCTAGTCCAGAAAGATCTACCCATTAACTCAAGGGGAAACTCCTTGGCCAAGCAGACATCTGGGCTCTGGAGGCCTCAGGCACACCAAGTCCTGAGCAATGTGTGCCAATTTATTTGTTTATATATTAACAACGGACAACGTTGGCATGATGAGCTGTGGTCTGTTTTGTAATAGTCTTGATTTAATTGCACACCCATACAAACATACTTTCTTTCCTGCCATTTTTTGTCTGTCATTGCATCAGAACCTCGATACACAAATGTATCTTCTAATTAATTGATATCATTGTCGAAACAATATATCAATTGTGTCTTGTCAAATATACTGACATTGTTAGGAAGCATTGGGGGCAATAGGTTATTCAAATATACATTTGGGATATGTGATTTTAGGGGGTGGTGAATGGTTTGGAAGGTATTCTTCACCTTTAGGTTGACATCCGGTTCCGGCCATGCGATCTGCGGGACTGACCTCTAAACGTCAACACACAACTGCAATTATGTAATACGTCTAAATCTCTGCATCTAACATGAAGACAGCTCTAATTATGTCCCAGCCTACAGCACATCCTCTGGGAACCAGAACATGTGGGGGCAGCTGGGCAATACAGGCCATATTCCTACGTGACATGGAGGCACCAAAGCATGCACGCACACACACACAAATAATTTCACTACTTATACAATTTTGCAGTCTAATTTCATCTGCCTTCTCTTCCACTTTCCCTTCTTATGTTTCAGTCCATCTTGCTCTCTTCCCTCAGGTTTAATTGCCTTTGTGGCAGATGGGGTGGTGGTTGGTCTGCAGGAATCAATGTCTTCATTGTGGGACTGAGGGAGAGATTAGCAGCTAGTTAGCACCCGTGAGAGACGACAGCTGGTACCGTTAACCTCCGCTGTCACTCATACACACAGCGGCAGGAAATACTAGTGTCACTTAACCCTTAGCTGGGCTCAACAATTACACACCAGAGATATACTGCGCTGTACCTTAAGCCTGTCACTCAAACACAGAATAAAGGGGGCCTTGGCTACAATGTTAATCGGGCCCGCACACTCTGGGATAATCCATTTGTGGCTTAGCCTGACATGGAAAAGAAGGGAAAAAAAGCAGTATTTACAAAGTCACCCCAAACTGAGCAATAACCGAGGGCGCCGCTCCTCACTCTCCGACAGAGTAGGGTGGAAAAACATGTTTCTAAATCAAAACGGGAATATGTTGCAACCTATGAATTGACTCACAAGATGTGAAAGCTTTGCCACCGAGGCAGAGCAAAAATGTATCATGCGATACATGACCCAAAAAGTGACCGCAGCAGCTGCTGACAATGGCTCCAGTTCCATTAAGGAATCTGAAAAACGCCACGCTGATTTGACAGCAGTCGTTTATATTACATTTTGTTCCAAGTTCAATTTATAAAACTGACACGCACAACAACTGTCACTTGGTAAAAATAATCATCAAACAATTCATAGGGGTCGTCGTGGCGCAGGGGTTAGAGAAGGTGTCCTGGGAAGCACAAGGTTGTTGGTTCGATTCCAGGCTGCCCCATGTTCCATGTCGAAGTGTCCCTGAGCAAGACACCTAACCCCTATTTGCTCCCTGGGCAAAAATGTGAAAAAGCCATGGGTTTAAAATGTAATGTAAGTCGCTTTGGATAAAAGCGTCTGCTAAATGACCTGTAATGTAATGTAATATACTTTCCCAATAACAATTAGTATCACATGTTAATTCCAAAGGCATGCTGGCTTTCTTTCAGCCATTTTTCTGTTTTGATTAAACAAAATGTGGACCCCTAAAAACAACACTCTTTTAAGCCTATTTTTACTAGCAGTTATAGATTCACTTCCACACCATCATACCTAAACATGCAGAGCACATGAATAGATCTGTCATCACACACACACCCACACACACACACGTTGTATCAGCAGCAGAGATGTGGTTTTCCAACAGGACTACTGCGCCTGGTCCAAGCCGACCTCAGTCGAGGAACTAGAAGAGCTTTTGTTGCGACTGCATCATCTTCAGAAAGCGGTCTGTTCCGTGACTTGAGGAACTGAGGGTGTCAGTTACTTGGCTCTGTCTTCATCTGGGTCAAATCAAGTTCAACAACAGATGCTTCGTGCAATCCGTGACGCACCCGTTCTGACATGACACTGGGTTTGAACATTTGTATCGTACTGATCTGATGAGTGACATCATCCATCCACTCGGGACATTTTAAATTGTATTATTAACTTCAATCCCAAAAGAATCTGTTTATCATATTTCCTCTATTTTTTTAAAGGACTGATGTGAGAATCAGACAAACAGTGATGTTGACACTTGCCTGAAATACTTACTTTTGACATAAAAGACATAATGTCACAAATTCTCTTCACCTATAAAACAATAAATAGCAAAATAATGTTGTGGGCTGATATTTGTCTGGGTTTGACATGGGAAAGACAGATTAAACACACAACATGCTCGCCGGCCTTGTCCAAGTTCACCTGCCTTTCAACAGGCTAATATCATTATTCCAACAGCTGCAGCATATTTAATGCAACTCGCTGTATTTCCCATTACCCGTTGTTCAAAGTCTAAACCACAGCTTGTACATTGTAGCCAAAACATGGGTGAAACCAATCAGCATCTGTAGTGGTACTGTGACATCTGGATGAACACATGACAATTTAAGGTTGTGAAGAATAAAACAACGCAACCTAAAACAGGCCTTGTAGGTTTTGCCTATCATATTATTTAATTTTTTTCGGCATAATTCACCTTGTGGAGAATTACAGGTAGTCCGACAGTAGTTTTGCGTTGTAAAACAAGAACCCGAGAAAATCTAAATCCCAAATAGAGCACCGTACACGGTCTTTGTTACCAATGACTACGTAGTGCAACCCGGTAATTATAGTCTAGCCATTGAGCGACACCTTGCTCTGCCTCTCTCGGGAGTAACAAAGGAGAAGGAAGGGAAGTAACATGATATAGATGGATGGCGTCCCCCCTCAGACAGTGTGTAACACGGCGCCTTTTCTGCAAATATTTAAAATATCTCCTTAAAAAGTATCAATCACACAACCACCTTTTCTCTTATGAAACGTCTCAAACTGTTGCTGCTCAGATTGCACAATCCATCCATCAGCTACTGCTCAGATTCAAGGAAGGTCATGAGTGCGGGAGAACGTACGCGTTGATCTATGTCTATACTAGGAACAGTAACGTGTGTCGAGAGGCAACCTGTAACACGAGGAGCGCAGATCACCTTTTCTCAACGGTTCCCCTGCTCCTGGTAACGCTTTGATATCCCAGGCTTGTGTCAAAGCCAATTCATTGGTGGTTCTGAGTATCCAATTTGTTCAAATCCGGCATACAGGCAATGTTTTTTTTTCTTTTTGAAGTGTAACACAAGGCCTTTCCACGGTTTCTGTCCAAACCATCTGTGTGTCCAATGACAATAAAGGATATTGGTAGTTTGCTCGTGGATGCCTTGTAGAGCCCGTTTGCTGAGAATACAAATGATCTCAGTCTATAAAATTGGCTATTACTATTAAAAACCAGCTCAAATTACAATACATCTTGCTTAAATACGTATTTGTTGTGACATTTAAGAAGTTTCCCTTCCCATTTAGAATCGTACACGAGCCATTGTAGCCTTTTCCTCTCGTTGCATCGTGTAAGAAGTCCTTTGTCCTTAGCAAGGACAGGACACTACAACGTGACACTCGGCATACTGTCGTTTTGTAGTTATTGACAATCTCAACACTGTGTCACCAAGATCCCTGCATTTCCACAATACCATTTTAACCAACAATATGCATTTCCTCCTCTCACTCATCACAGCAGCAAGCTATTGTGGCCCCCCGGCACACACACACACACACACACACACACACACACACACACACACACACACACACACACAAAGCATGCAAGATTGAGTGTCACACACAGAACCACATACCTCCATGGCCAGTGCAGCCGTCTGCTGGTCATAGTGGTTCAGTAGATTGGGCATGAAGGTGGTGTTGTAAGGCAGATCCTGGCACATTCTCAGTCTGATGGGCTCACAACTAAACTCACTGTGGCTTTCCATGGAGTCCATGTGAATGGAGACAGCGGGCGTGACCACAGAGAAGAGGAGCAGGACGAAAGGGACCAGGAGGGTAGAAAAGCAGATAGGAACTCGTTGTCTGCAGTGGATTTTTGCAGTTTTTGGAACCCGGTCGTTCGTAAATCCTCTCCCAACAGGTGCTAGCATTCTAATGTTTGACATTTCTCCACAGCGGCTCAGTCTGATGACTCTATCGTCACCAAGGCAACCGCTAGATAGTCCTGAAGACATGCGGGAATTCTTCTTAAAGCTCAACATGAGAAGCAATTAAGTCCATTGTCAGTGGTGGAGATCAAAGCAAGAAAAATCCACAAGAGGGGTAACCTGTGTATGTGCACCATGAACACGAGGCCCCAATGAATGGAGCTGCCCTTTGTGTCAGTCTGCAAAGTCTTCTATCATTGTAGTAGTTGCTTTTCTTGTGGGGTCCCAGAGTATAATGGATTTTCCCTCATTTAGAAGAAAATGTCTCCCGACCTCACGGTAATCCCCTTTCCAAAAACAGATTCCCCTTCATCCTCACACCGAAACCATGTCGCTGAGCTGACAAATCCACCGAGGGCCGACTGCTGGAGGTCTGCTCCGGGCTACCGTACATCGCCTTCTTCCTTTTTTACGTCAGTTGCCTCTCCCCTCACTCCAACGTCCATCGACGCCTCTGCAGTCGAGCCCACAAACAGGTTATCATCCTCGAAATGATTCCACCGATTCCTCCGGAAGACACGGACTCCTGTGTTTAACCTTCAACTGCCTCGCAGGGGTGGATCCATCAAGCAGGTCCTGCAGGTTCTAAAAACACACAAAGAGGAGCCTGATGGTCAAACAAGCGGAGTGGGCTCCACCGTGAGTGAAGCTGTAGCTATCTGATACTGATCAGCCACGCCCCCTCAGACCACACAAACCGGGATTAGAGAAATACCTGCTCGTGGTAGGTGGGAGTCTCTGAAGACCACGACCGCGTATTACAACCACCAACACGTTCAGAGAAAAGCAGGATAACTTATGACGCTTCAAGTTGCAAGCAGTTAAAGCGGACGTTACACCTGCGAATGACCCCCCCTCTTCCTCTCGTGTTTGTGTGAGGTTGGCCGGGCAACAGTAACGTTCCCCTGCGATGTTTCACACTGCGCCTTGGTGCCTTTATGGTTGAATACAATGTCAACTTAAAATGCAAAAACACGTGTTCTAATACAAATGAACAATAGTTTTCTATCGTAATGAAAGCGCACATATTATCGCCGTTTATTGAGACTTACACCTGCGTCCAATTGGTCCCGGCCGACCGTTAGACGCGAGCTAACGTTAGCGCGCTAGCGTCACCGCGATATCGATCACGTCAAAGTGCGTTACGCCTCCGGGACGCGCCTCATTCCTTGCGGGACACATCCCGCGACGTTAGCGCCCGTTAGGGGAGAACCGGGCGCACACCTTTTAACAAAACATTTTTTTTTTTTAAAGAGGTGGGCTGTGCGAAGTCCTCCCTTTTCAGAGAATCACGGCGATGACAAGCACGCGACATCGACGTGAACGGCCGTGTTTGTCCCCGCGGTGTATTCAGCGCGACGACGCGCGGCTCGTGCGCGTAATTCGCTTAAAGCCGCGCGGGCGAAGTAACACCGAGAAGGGATCCGACCGGTCACGAGCACCTGGTTGTAAATACTTTACCTTGGGTGAAGAATAGCGAGCGGCTCCGTTCACTGCAGTACTTCCCCGCGTCTCCGTTGGCAGCTGTGCTGCCCGCAGCGTGCAGAAGCGGACACGGCGTGCACGCGGATTCATCGTGACCGCGCAAAGACATGATGCAAAATTGTCCCCAATGATCGTCTTAATTCACTGCTGATAGAAAATTGATGGCGACAAACTATTTCATTTCAATATATGTAAGCGAAAGAAGGATTTAGTAAAGTCAGATGTGCTTTTAATTGCTATTGTCATTTTGCCTATCATTTGTAGGGAGTAGATGGCATAAAAAATAGCACTATAGGGAAACTGTGTGTGGTTGAAAAATATGAAAAAATAAATTAAAGCCGTCAGCTGAAGGAAGACACCAACTGAGTAATTAGCGTGCAAGGAGTGACAGCAGTCATCAAGTAGAGAATATGTCAAGATATATGATGGACAGGCCAATGTAACATAAAAAACCTTTATTAAAGATTATACATTACATTTTTTCACTACAACACCATAAAACAAAAAAAATAATGATGTAAAAAAAAAAGAAAATGTTCTCAGGCAATCAGGCAAACAACTAATGCATGTTTCATGTATTTAGATCTGCTGTAGCAGGGGAAAAGATTAATGATGACACTTGTTTTTTCCGATTAGGCTGCCCCACTCCACTTATTTCAAGAGCTTAGCAGACTTGTAAGGAAACAACAATGCAATCACCACAGGTTTTGTTTTATTCATTTTGCCTCTTCAGGGCACTTCAAGTCTACCATAAATTCCAGTGTTTTTTTTCATTTCTATAAAACTGACACTTTTATAGAAATGAAAAAAGCACTGGAAAACACATGCTCATTTAATCAATGACAAAGTAAGTCATAAAAAGATTCACAATAATCCATTTGCTAGAATATCAATTATCGATATTAAATAATATACATATTGATGTATCTTTATTTATAAATTGATTGCATTCTAAGTTAACTTGCTAGAGATTAACTAATTCCTACGAAAATATGTCTGCAAGAACTACATGATAATGCACTCAAACATTTGTGAAAATGCCAACATAGAAGAACACCACAACATAGGACTTGAATTCAGTTAATTTTTCCATAATCAAGTTTACCACATATTCATACTGTAATTTCCACTATACATTTTATGAGAGTACTCTGAAATGGCAAAACAGATTTGTTGGGATTGTGTCAGTCAGCACGATGTCAATATTTATCCCTTAGAGCCTGAGGATTAGTAGTGCGTGCTATGATTCCTTTCCACACAATTGAGCATGGCATTAGATTAACCGTTTCCACGCTGATCGGATCTTCTCTGCCGCTGCCTTGTGGGGGGTCTTTGGCAGTGGAGACGGCTGGCCCAGATACTGATTTAACCTCTTAATATGACCCCACTTGACATTCAACCACAGTATAGTGGAGTACAGTATATATATGTATATAGTTTATGAGCCTTTTTCACATTTAGCGTTTTCTTTCTGAACTATTGTTATATGAAATTCAAAAAGGCAGTGTGTCTAACTGGTTTAGCTGTAAAATATATCCACAGCAATGCATAAAATATAAATGACCTTTAAGAAGTACAATTTAGCATATTCAATTTAATTTTGAGCCAAATACTTTATTTGCATAGAATTAACTTGCGTTTTACGGCAAACGAAAAATTTAACTTACAGGACATGAACATATTGCTCTTTATTTCTGGACAAACTAAACTTGAGGAGTATTGGTTTTCTGAATGTACCTCAGATGCAACAGAATTTTTAAATTGATAACAACAGTACAACATTCTAAACATTTCAAACAATAAAATATGTGCTTATAAAATAAAATATACTTTCATTCAATAAAATTACTGAAAAACATTTTAGCTGGATAATAAAATGGGTTTCTTAACAATTTCTTAATGGTGAAAGAAATAACATATGGCACTATCAAACCTATACGGTCATAGATGGATACTAATAAGACTAGATTTAAATTTAATTTAAGCTTCCACAAGCGTAAGGCATATGTTCACTAAAAGGATCACTAGAAGGATCTGCCGAATACTATTTCGACTGCTTCTACAGGTTCTTTTTTTATGTTTCTATTTTTTTATGTTTCAATGTAGATTAATTTACCATTAGTTTCATTTCACATACCGATTAAAGGATTTTATTTTATTTTATTAAATGAAAACAAGGGAGCATTGAATAAGTGCACGTGGCTGAATAATAACGCAAAGCCAGAACCACTTTCCCAAAACTGAATTCACTCCAGTTCTACTGTGAAACTCACCGAGCTGACTTTGGGGGAAAATCGACTGGTCTAAATACAGGTGCAGCAATGCCTTTTGTGATTTAGCTCCGCTTAACATCAGAGGGGCGTCCTTCCTGCTTTTGGTTCAGTTAGGGGTCAGAGTTCAAGTGTTTCCCAATCAGGCGTCGGCCTTGGGGGCCGCACTCAGCTTCTACCTCCAACTGCAAAACAGAAAGGTAGGACAAGGTCTGTGTTTAGTCCGAGTTGTGGTGATTGAGTAGGCTTGTATTTTCTTTGCCACGTGGGAGTAGTTGAGTTTGGAAATGTTGTGTGTGTTTGGGATAGAAAAACAGTTTGTGTGTGTGTGTGTGTGTGTGTGTTTGTGTGCTCACCTGCTCTTTGATGTAGCTGTTCCCGCATGGTGGCAGCCCTCTGAGGGCCAGTCCCACAAGGAAGCACCAGATCGACACTCCAATCTCAACTGCTGACAAGAGTGCACAAGGGATCCACAGTGCCAGGGTGGTGTCCTGAGAGACAGGAAGTGATGGGAACGTCAAGATAAAGTGCGAGATTTAAAAACAACACGAGTTCAAACATTTCTCCTGTGATGCTTTTACGAAATTTCACACCTCAAAAGTTGCAGGCTGCAAGTTCGAAATGTGCAACAAAAGATCCGATAGGGGAGAAAAGGCGAAGAGTGCAAATGGTATGAAGTGGGCTGAAAATGTAGCAGAAACAGTTGGACTTACATAGATTCGTGTGGTATCAAACGGGCACTTGGCACTGACAGGTGACCGAGCATTGATGGGCACATCTGTGAAATTGCATCCCAGCAACAAACCTTCCCCATTGTGGGCCACAGTGATACTTATGGCCAAGAGGAGCCCAATGCAGCATGCTGCTGAGAGCAGGGCATTCAGGAAGGATGCAATGAGAAGTCCTATTTGCTAGAGACAAAGAGACCAAACCACATTAAAAAAAACAGATGGTGGGTTAACTATTGAATCGGCATGAAATGGTCAACTGAAGTTATTAAATCACTAAGTGAAAAATAAATTAACTTCTTACGAGTCTTAGCACAGGAAGGTTCCTCGACACCACAATGGCGATAATCCCAGTGGCAATGCTCTGGAAGATTCAGACAACAATGGTTTCAGCTTTAGCAGGGTTTATTAAATGATGTGCTACGAGTAGTAATCTTAGCCCGAAGGATTCAAGCCTGTATTTTTCATCTGGGTGTCAGGCTGGGAAGACTTCACACACAAGAAAGTTTGACAAAAAAGTCTTACTAATGGCGGTGAGAAATGAGAGGCAGTGCTGGCACAATAGAGCTTGTAAATTGTCTTTTCTTTTTTCCTTCTGCGTTACCTTTAAACCCTCTAATACCCCGTGCTGTTCATTAAATAAATTAGATATTAACCGCATTGAATCATCAACAGGTGCCAGTACATCTGATAATCTAATCAAGCCTACCCTGGAGCAACCAACAGGTTTGAAAAAGCAGCTCCCTTATAGTTACAGGCAAGTTGAGTCTTAATTCCTCAGAAACATACACAGCATATTGCAGAGCCAACAATGGAAATCATGCACAATGTTGGCTGCAGGTAAAAATGTTATTCTAAAACACGGAGCAGAGAAAGTCAGAGAAGAAAAAGAATAGTTCTTTCCTAACTCTTAAAACTCATATTAAAGTGTTTTGGTCAGGATTGCTTTGCTTTTGCAATTGCCTTGGTGCACACTGCAGATTCAATATTGAAATAAAGATGTGTGTCTTATCTATTTACTCACCAGTAGGCCAGAAGTGACCGAAATGATGTTGGCTACGGTGTATTCGGTGGAGATGTGCTGGCTGGGTTTGGAAATGTGGCGGAGGACACTGCCATGGACAATAGCTCCAAGAATGAAGTTAATATGGCCAACTAGGATTAGTGTTAATCCCTTTTTCATCAGCCTCCTTGGCCCTTTGTCCTTATCTAGATGAAATAATACATACATTATAAGAATTATTCGATAGGGCCTATGTGATCTAAAACATTAAGTTTAATTTTGAAACTGTATGGTTCGAGGTTTTTAATGCATTCTTCTCCCGATCACAAAAAGATAAACAAGAGCAATTCATATAAATCTATCCTATTTCATAGCCAGACTGATACAGGGTTTAAATAGCAAACATTGTAACCAATGACTGTTTCCAAGGCATGCTGCCATGCTGGTCAGCTAATTTCAAAACGCTTGTTTCTGTTTCTAAAGGCTAGTTTTAAGAAATATAATTCTAGAGATTTGATAGCATGGACTACTTGTCATTCAAAATGTTGTAAACATGGCTTTTAAATTTCAAATTGTCTCAGAAAAACCAATGTGATGTATTTGGCACAATTTTTAAACATATGTTCAGTTGTTGAATCAAAAAAGATATAATAATATAAACATGAAATATCAAATTGATTGAATTAGTTAAATGTATTGTGAAAATATGCCTGAAAACTGTATATTTTAGTTTAAAATGCAACTGACTCATTTAGTTCCTATTTAAAAGTAATTTCATTATTGTCTTCAGTATGGATTATAATGAAAACTTGTTTTCAGGATGCACCGTAGATCATCAACAGGAAAATACATTTGTCATTTTGGGTTCAACCTAAAAGAAGTTTCACAATGTATTCTGAAAATATAAACATACACTTAAATCTATGAGGTAAACATCAGAAAAGTCTATTGATTTGATTGTGATGTATACAACATTTAAACTGGCCTGGCTCTATAGGAGCAGTATATGTGGTCTGTTTTACATTCCCTTTAATCTTCCTTTCAGGTTTCTGTTTCTTATGTGTTAGTTTGAGTAAAAAAAAAGTAGTTACCGGATTTCCAACATTCAGTATTAAAAAAATTCAAATCTTGGACACAAACATTAACATGTATAAACAGCAAAAATGTCGATTTCTAAGTCTTTGATCTTGATAAGTCTAAAGCTCCCCCCCACACACACACACACAGACAGTGTTAACGTTTAGATTAAATGTACCTTTTAGATTAATGTACCTTTTATTCTGTCGGTATATTTTAATACCGACAGGGCATTTACTCTGCAGTAAACCAGGCTGATTCGTGATCTTATGATAATAAAAACAGTCCGTGCACGTACGTGCAGGCCAGCGGTCACTTTAGAGCCGCGGGGCGAAAACTAGCTTCTCAAACACACAACGTCAGTAACGTTACACCCCGAAAGCGATTCATTTCATTGTAGAAGTACTAACCAAACGTGCACATCTCTGCTGTTCCGCGCCTTTCCGTGAAATTAATGACCGTATTGTTCAAGCAACAGTTGAGAAGTAGAAAAAACGTCTCTCTGTCCACTTCCTGTATGACGTCAGGGAATTCACCTTTGAATCACCTGTGACACGCGGGACGCGGAGGGGCGGGACAGAGGTTCCAGATTGGCGCCACCGCTGTGTCGAATCAGTCACAGGACCCGAAAGAAGTTCAGACACGGACCCAAAAAACACCATTTCCCAAAAGTGAAGAATTTCACACATTTATTTGAAAGAGTAGTCACCCAGATTCTGTCAGGATTCCGTCTCACAAGAGGGACACACATTTACAAAATAGAGGAATATACAAATACTACCGGAAAGCTCACATCCTTGAGTTATGGGCCCAAGCTGCCCACCCTGTATGATTATTTAATAACCAATTTGAACATCACCAACAGTAGGAGAGAGAGAGAAAGAGAGAGAGAATAAAGCTGGTCTGGTGATCACATTGGTTGGTTTGTAACACTTCTCTGTACAAGAAGTGCACTTACATTCACCGGGCTGACTTTAAAACATATCTTTGGATTATATAATCATAGCAGTTCACAAATAAGAAAAACAATGGACTACACTTGTATATAAAGCAGATCAGAGGACATTACTAGCCTGAGTACACACAAATATCAGACATACGTGAGGAGATAATTGGATTCATTTGACGTCATTGCGGAGGAGACCGTTTAACATCTTTAACTCGTCAACCAGCAAAACAGGAATATCTGCAAGTTCATAAGGTACTTGTCAATTAAACTGGTACAGTATATAAGACACTTCAAGGATATTCAATAAAGTGCCAGAAAAACGGTATTATTATATCTGTAACAGTATCGCAAATGTCGTTTTTTCTATTCACATATTGTGAATGCTACATTTTTCATTCTTCCTGTCTGTTTAAGTTACTGAATTGCTTGAGCTTTTAGAGACAGTAGTACCAGTTGGCCAAAAAGAGTTCTGAGCCAAAATGTCACAAAATAAAAAAGGCCACAGCCAACTCCCTGATCTCAGTAGGAGTCTGAGAAAGACACGTTTAATATACGAATTCAATATTTAGAAGCCCCTGCACTCAGTGTAGGATAATGTCAACCCCAGAGATCCCAGTCTCGTCAAACGGTGATCTAATCAAAACAGCAATAGAAACAAGAGGCGTTGTAATTGGGCTCTCTTCTGTGTGTACACAGTTAACAAAAAGGGAAATAAGAGAAGGAAAACACACACTATTCAGTGTTTTAAACATATAACATGGCTCTCACACAGATGTATCAGGAAAAGGCCACGTCCTCTTTCTACAGCCTATGGCAGCTGAGTTCAGTATGCATCTCTCACATGAATGGATCTCACAGGAAGAGTAACATCTGTGAACCCAACAAGCAGCAAATGGATACACAATGAATAAAATCATTTTTAAAAAACGGAGAAAAGGGGACTTTAAGGCATGTGCGTAGGCCCAACAAACAGAGTGAAACATAAAAACCCCACACAAAAAAAAATTCAGTAACACTGAGTTCACAGTACCTACAAGTAACCCTTGTCCAGAGAGAGCGGCTTTGATGCCTGCCAGAAATGTGATATGCCGTTCTGCACATACGTTTTGTTCTGTATCAAGGCTTTTAAAATGATATATATATATATATACACACACACACCACGTGCATTTCTCCATCAGTCAGCAGACATTGCTTCTGCTGGTGACGGGATGCTCCATCACATTAAGTCAAACAGGGCGGAATGTATTTCACGTCGGGCAAAACAAAAGGGAGTTGGGCAATTCACTACATAAACTCCTCGCACACTAAAATAAAACTAGAACTTGAAAAAAAGAAAAAGGGGTTTTACAAAAATGTTAACGCCGTAAGTAATTGTGTCAGTACTGTCGTGTTCACGTGCCTGTAGCAGCATTAATGAGGTCAACTTAAATGCCAATGCATTACAAAAAAAGGACACAGATGTATGAATATTTAAACTTTCACAATAAAAATGTTTAATCTATCCAGATGGGTTTTATTTTGGAGTCACCTGTGCTCCTGGATTGCTTTCTGTTCAAGTTTTTCTGTGCTTTCGGAGGTTTTAATCCCCTGATGCAGAGGAATAAATACCACCCTTTTGTTACCACCTACAGCTTAGTAGAAAATACTAATCTTTTTAGAAGCACTAAATATGGTGAGCGTGTTGAGTAACCAAAACGAACATGTAACAGGGTGGAGAGAGTGTACTTATGAGACAGTAACATGGCTTAGGAAACATCGTTGCTAATTGAGAGCTTGGCTGAACGAGTCGTCTAGTAGAGAGGCTATTTTGTGTTGGTCCACCTGCGAAGAGAAAACAAACATTTTCAACAATCGAGGTAACAGATGGACCACTTTGATAGTTGGAGCTACGGCCAACCATCACAGCTAAGGCGCCAACATCACAGCTAAGGCACCCGCCCCCAGACACACAGTAAGTCAGTCCAACGGGTGAGGCACGAAACTCCTTTAAGTGTCTGTGAAATCCATTAAGAGGAGTAAGTCATTAAGACAAAAGGCCGCGTACGCTCTCTCCCACAAAGAGATGAAGAGACTATGTTGCATTAACGTGGGTGGGCAAGTGGGCATAATGGCACATGTGGTGAAGTGTGCGCGTGTTGGATGGTATGAAGCAGAGTCAAGGGTCACCTCACCTTCTAAATGAAACTACATTTTCCCACAGTTTTGTACAAAGATAACACGCTGGCCCATAGAACCTCCTACGCACGCTGGATGCTCGCGGTCACCGTGAATCCCTCTTTAACACACAAAACACCCACCTCGCTGATTAAGCCCAGCTGCACCAACTCCTCCGCCATCTCTTGAACACTCTCATCTGGAAAAACACACCAGAACAGTTAATAATGTCATGTAACATCACCTTCATCATCAACATCATCTGCTCAACTAGTCACACACCATCTCTCTTAGAGTCATGCAAATACTTTAAACACACCCCAACCGCTGAAGAAGGTCAGGCTCGGAGTAAATACCGTATTCAGATAACACGGTCCAGATGCTGCTTTCGAATGCACACGTTCCCCCTTCAAACTTTAAACAACATCAAACAGAAGTTGCTGCTTTTGCTTTTGGCATCTCTGGACACATTTATTTGGGTGGTACCATTATTAATGATACACAATACAGTCAAAAAGGACAAATAGTCTAGAATGGGACTTTTTAAGAGGAAGGAAGGAAAGTGTTTCAAGCAGCATGTTCCTCATGCGCAATCTGTTAAAACATCTTCGCTTTTTAATCATATCTCTTTTTCCCATCTATTAAGCGCTTAATGATTTCATTAATAGCCATAAGCCTCATCAACTCTGCTCGGTTTTGGAGTGGAACGTTGGGCGGATATTTAAATAAACCATGAGTTTGCCACAAAATCTTCAATTTAGCTCATTGAACATGTGTTCCTTTATTAAAAACTGTTTATGAACATATCCAACAAAGTAGTAAAAAGACAAATATTAAGATTTCTGCACCAGCAGTAGTGTCAAAAATCCTGTTAATGTTACATTGAAGCTACATACACATGTCATATTAAACTGCTCTGCCGTGTGACTCCTCGGACTGTACATGCAGATCAAGTGTAAAGATTCACTTGAAAGTTTAAGGCAGTTTGCTGGAGAGTTAGTTCCCCCAAAAACAGAACTACAAGGGAACTTCAAAATGTATGCAAGGCTGCACAAAGTAAAGACACATATTCTGGATTTCCCCCGACTAAAACATTGGGAAAAACACTTGGAACAAACTAGCTCTGAATTTCTGATGTTCCACAACTTTTGATGGCTACTTTCTTGTAAAACCTTTAACATACACCGTCAGAACACTCCTGTCACCCACTGGCTTTAAATGGATGGTATGTGATGTTTTTCACTTACATTTTAGTTATGGACCAAATTAGGACATTCTTTGCTTGCGCTCGGTGAGCCGAGGAACTGTCATGGTCTAATGACTTTTAATAACCAAGCAATCAATTTGTAACCACATCAGGAATGTAGGCGGGGCAAGACAAACAAGTGGAGGAGATGGACCATCCAACAACTTTGACATTAAGAAAAACACCCGCAGCCCAGAAGAATCAATACTGCGTGAGATTCCTTGCATGTTGGGTCTCATGCTTGGAAAATCGTGTAACTATCAAAATAAGCTACTATTTAGTTTTAAGGGGGGAAAAAGAAAAACAATGCTTTAACTGTAAAGACAGTTTCAGTTGAAATGAAGTGAAAACTGACAAAACTAAATCGGCTCAGGTCGCTCGTGACGCTGCACTGTGCACTTTGGACTTGATGAGTGATACTTTAAGAATATTCCCTGATATCAGCAGGAGGGACTGTTTACAAAGAGGGAAAAACGGAAAGAAAGAAAAGAGGACAAGGCGTGTCCACGGCGTGAAGTTACACTCTGGTGTGCTGGCTGGTATTAAAGCGTGAGCGTGCAAGAGGAGACACGCAACGTGACAAACGGAGGGAAACCCAAAGGGCAGAGGAGATAAAGTAGAGCGAGTGTGTGTGAGTGACGGACAGGGGGAAGAGACGGTCACATCTTGACAGGCGAGGTGACAGCTGTCAGCTGCAGCCTTTCACAGGCCTGGCATTCCCCACACGCCTGCCACACTATACATGCCTAACATACCTGTGTTTGCATGTGCACATAGGATCATTCTGCCTCCATTTTTATGACCATTGCAACAGTTGGCGGTGTGCTTTTCTTTTTCTTTATTTGTTTTCATTTGGTTAATAGTGTGCTGTCGAGCATCGAGATGAACGTCTTGCACTTTAAATAGGTAGATCAATAAAATAAGTGTGTGAAACATTCAGAATTTGTGGAGTTTTTGATTGTCTTCCCAGACAACGTGTATTTCAAGCCTCTGAGGCCATTGAGGCCTTTCTAAGGTTTTCGTGACACATAAGCAACAGTTAGTCTCTCTGCCTAAAATAGTCTTGCTCCTGTATATTGTGACAGCATCCGAGTTTAAACTCTTTCTGGAATGTCACGCTCACTTCCCTACAAGTCTCAGTGCGCACATATGGAGAGGTGCTGTATACCTGAGAATACAGAGGCGTTAGCAAGGCAGTAATACAAAGAGACATAAGTCCATCACTAAATCAGACGTGATGCTCCCGTTAACCCCAAAGCCAAAGTGTAAACCTGGACTGAAACTGTCCAGATAAGATAAAATGATGACGTTTCATAAAAACCCACATGAATGCTAACACACATACATTCACAACAACTTAAACGAAGAAAATAAAACGTATAGTACTAAAGTATGCGTTCTGGTATAGATATTCTACTCATGTGTAGAAGTGCTTGTTTGGGGACACATAGCTACACACTCACATACACACTTGAAATGAATTTCAGCATTAAGACAGTTGTCTCAACGTTTTACGATGTGGTCACACTAACAATAAATGGTGAGTGTGTGTGAGTGTGTGTGTGAGTGTGTGTGACGATGGAGAGGGACTTACGAGGTAACATGTCACAGGTTAGGTGTCTATTCAGTTTATCCTCCAGTTTCAGCAGTAACGTTAGCTGACAGGAGAGAAAGAGAACAGCCACCCAAATGATTATTAACATCACATTTTAGAAATGACTACAAATGTTTGGAATATCATGTTAAGCAATAAATAATTCACATAAAATACCATCATAACGACTTACATGATACTTTGCTCCCTCCTCGACAGATTCAACATTACACTGCATATGAATGACCTAAGCAAGAAGTATGGGAATATAAATATGAACGACTCTCAACTGATGTTGAGATTTCAGAGTTGCACTCAACTCTTAAGGCAGCAAATACACAGATACACAGTATGCATATTGATTCGGTGACTCGTGTAGTAACTGGTGAAATGTCCCAACTGGGATCGTATATTGTTTTGTAACATGCGCTATAATCAGTTGTACACACCCGTCGTGTCTCCAGCTCTGACGGTTCGGGCGTGGGTGATCTGACCAACGGGACGACAACGGGAGATTTAATGGTCTCCCGTTGAGGCTTCTGAGGACACGGCAGCCCGAACGCTATCATTGGATAAATACCATTCCTGATTGGGGGAAGTAGACACGTTAGGGTTAGAAAAATTATAGATGGAGGAAATAAAGTAAAAGGGACAGAGGGGAGGGTCAAAAGATGGGGATTTATAAAGTAGTTAAGGAAAGTATAAAAATAAAGATAGATGTAAGAGATGAGATGGAAAATAAGGGAACATTTTGAAATAAAAACAAAATTATTTGTAGCAAAGTAATCAAAATGAATAATATTTGTTTCTTTTTTCATACAGTCTAACTTTCACATATAATTACAAATGCGTAACACAACAGTAACACATGAATATAAATGAATCCTTTTAGTTGTATGAAATTTGTGCTCGACCTGTGGTCAAAATAATGATTTGTTCATACTATCATATATGCAGACAGAGGCCCAAAGCACAAAAAGCACAAAATAATCTTTTCAATCGAGTATATTTCATTTAACCCCAGTATCTGTGAAAAGTCCAGTCATGTTTTAGGCGGTATTATCTCATAGTTAGATTATATAATGGTAGATTAATTACAATAGCCAGTCAGATAAATACTGCTCCCATGTGGCCGGAGAGTGTTTCTTTTTGGGGTTTGAGAGAACAAATGCTCCGAGTCTTGCTGCTTTCTTTCTTACCTCACATCCTCCAGGAATTTATCGAGCTCCAAGATGGGAAACTGTGAAAGCCTACAGAAAGAACAAACAAAGTTAGATTAGCAGCTTGAGGTCTGTAGACCAATTTAAATAAGATAACTACAGGTTGTGAGACACATACCAAAGATATATACCAATAATATTAACACTTCAATGTTGCGGTTTTTCTTTTAACTTGTCTGCCATTATGTTGTTAACATCATTTTCCTGTACTGATCATGAATGACTACAGTTCATATTTGTGCTGCATCTAACCGACTGACTTATTATTACAGATACCAGCTTGTGAGCCTTACTTGAGCTGAACATCGTCTTTTGTCTCAGCGACAACCAAGTTGGGGTCCAGTTTCTTCATAATCTCCTCCAAGGCATTTTCAGGAATCATGTCTGGATAAATATAGACCATCTCTGTTTAGGTGATGCTGGTAGTTAGGATACATCACTTTAAACTCACAAGTTTTTATTGGTAGCATTTGAAGATGTGTGAGAGGGCGGAACGAATACCCAGCTATATGTGTAATTTTTCCTTAAGTGCTACATAATGTGAACTCTACTGTTTCATTACTGGTGATTTAGTTGAGGTCTCCATCCAAAGCCTCTTACATTACACTTTCTTTTTTTACATTTGGCCCGGGGAGCAATGAGGGGTTATGTGTCTTGCTCAGGGACACTTCGACTTGAGACTGAACATCACATCACATGTCATTTAGCTGACGCTTTTATCCCAAGCCACTTACAATTTGACCTGATCTAATTAGATCAGGTCAAACCTTAGCAGAGTTAGGAGGGCACACTGGCAGTTAACTTAATAGTAGAATCTAGAACACAAACTGGCACTAAAAGACTGAAAGAGCTTGAACAAACTAGCAACCAAGATAACTTCAAGACAAAGAGAACTGGCATTGAGACGACAAAAACTAAAGCAAATCAGCAATCAAATTAACTTAAGACACTAGTACTTCAAACAGGGCTTGGTTGAACAGCAGCTCTCGGGCTGTGGGCCTTGTGTCGGGATTACAGTCGAGGCACTTCTGGATTAACTCCTTCAAGAAAAGACAAACATCTGGGTCAACAAACGTCTTCTATGCACAAATGGGACATTCAAATAAACGCAAAAGACAGACGTGCACATCCAAGACACACTCGTCTCTCTTATCTCACCCTCTGCAGCGGGTCCTCCAGTAACTGTATGGCGCTGTTGATGGCCTCCGGAGACACTAAAGACGACTCTCCGTTCCCCTGGATTTCCAAGAGAGCCATCTGCAACACACCAGACAGGTTAACATATTTAAGGAAAGACCCGGGCCATCCTACCACCTCCTGTGGGTCCCGTCTCACCTCCAAGGCACACACGCCAAACGAGTAGATGTCCACAGCTGTGGTGACATCATCAACAGCTAGAATGAGAAAATGAATCAAAAAGAATATGGACAGATATATTATCATAAAGTTATTATCAAATGTGCCCTTCACCGGTGAAGAAGCAAAAGTTGGTTGATTCTCAGTCTTGTTCACTTCTTTGATACGATATTTTCTAAATCATATTGATGTTATATCATTTTATTCAGACAAAGCTCCTGTAGTTGATTATGTTAAGACAACATTCAACAGAACTGTAACACTTGAGACGTATGTCATATTATGTTAAGTCCAACAATTGAATTGTACCACACCCTGCTTGTATTGTGATATGTCATTGTAAGATCTTTCTGAAATGTCTGTACAATGTCCTTTACTTTGGTGGTCAGGACACATTCAACATCAGTAAAAACAGAAATGAGAATAAAAAGGGACATAATGGTCAAGCCTACCTCCATATTCTGGGGCAAAGAAGTGCAAGTTCTTCTGCTCCTCATGACACGTCTTCACGTGGCTGTTGATGGTGTCTGGGGCAACTGCAGATGAGACAGGAGAAATTTTAAGATGGAAGATGGAAAAAAAGTGAGACGAGGGAGTAAGAAGCAAGATTCAGTAGAAGGAAGATAACACAATTATATGAATGAGGAAGGCACGAGTGGCAGCAAAAAAGGGAATATTAATACTCCCTTACATGGCTCACTGAAGTGAGCGATGTTGGGAGTTTGGAGGCTGCATTGATTTAAATGGTCTGCTGCTTGTTTCTTCTGTCGTATATGTAGTGGAAATAAGCTACCATCATGTAACAAAGACTTACAAACAACTCTGTTGCCTGAGATATCAAGAATATTAAGGAACGTTGGGTGTCTCTATACCTGATCCAATCTTGATGAGCCCGTTGTGTTGGATGAAGATGGTGTCACAGGTCAAGTTGCCATGGATGATAGGAGGGTCACATGAGTGGAGATAACTGCAGAAAAGAAGAAAAAAAACATCCACATATGAAAATACAAACTTCTTTAGAAAGTGGGTTGTTTTCATTGTGAGCGCACTTTTCTTTGCATTTTTGCTTTTGGGCAACCATATCACATTTGGCATAATGTGTGAAAAGGGGAGACCAACCTGAGAGCAGACAGGATCTGTGTGCACCATCGCTTCCAAGCCTGTGGGACCATACACTTTATCAGAGCACCTTACTGGCTGGTTTCCATTATGGAGTAACTATTACTTACATATGTGATCTTATAAACAGTATATTTGCTAAATCTTTCCTTGTTGTGCCAACAGCCAAAAAAGTTTACTAATGCGTAAATTAAATTATTCATCCTCGCATTAGAAAGCTGGAATCTCATTGACGGTTCGGCAGAGTCACATTTCATGTGCCATTATTCTATTAAATTCTAATTGACATCCAATCAGTTATTACCTTTTCATTCATGCTTTTATGATTCTTCTTTGTCTTCTTAAGAAACTGTTTCAAGCTTCCGGATGACATATATTCAGTGATGAAAATCACCTGAGGGAGAGGAGGAAGGTAGGGGAAACTTTATGTACAAACAGAAATGAAAAGTAAACAAATACCTATTTTATTCTAAAAAAATGATGGCGTTACTTATGAAGACTGATAAGAGTACAAATAACAAGCGTACAGCTGAAATTTTAAGTGTACCAAATGACTTCCTGTCAGGTCTGTGACTCACCCTCGCCCGGTTCTCGTTAGTGTCTGCCCAGTACTTGTGAAACTTGACAATATTTGCATGTTCCAAATGAATCAAGTTATCAAATACAGCCTCCACTTTCCCCTACACACACACAGGCAAAAAAAACATACAAGATGACATATATAGTATGTTATAACACTTACTAACATAATAACATTTAGCATTTTAACTGACTATTCTGTTCCTGATTCTTGAGTGACATATCTGAAAAAAAACATCCATGAAAATATAATATTATATATATATATATATATATATATATATATATATATATATATATATAAAACTACTTGTTTTCTTACAGTTTTGACACGTGAAAATGCTCTCTTCCCTTTTATACACTTTGCTGTGAAATCCCAACCACAGCGTAGCAAATATCTTTCACTTTTTTATTCCAACATACTGTAACACAGACCCACCTCGAGCAGCTTAAAGTTCTTCCTCTCTGAGATCATGACTTCATTCCATACTACCTCCACCCCTTCCTCTGTATCCATGGCCAAGTATGCATGATCTATCCCTGGGACATTACGCTGATTCACCTACAGAAAAAATTAAATTAAATTACCAAAGAATACTAAACACGATCAACCACAAAAGACCAATTTTTGAGGAGTAGAGCGGTTTCCCCCTATATTCAGATTAGATAACACACTGGTTTACAACAATTTCCAACCAGGTTGTTAGTTTGGCATTAAAAAGTCCTGGGAGTTTGGATACAGATTATTCATGGCTTGTCTTTGTGTCGCTTAAATGTAAAAAAAAAAAAAACCCGTCCGTAAGCACTAGTAAAAGGAACCCGGCTCATCACAAAATTACTGCATCCATTATTCCAGTCAACTGAGCTTCATGAGCCTGCAATACACAGTACAAAGCCAAGAGCAATTCTGATTAATGCAGAGAACTCTCATACGTCTCACGATAACTCTTAGCTTGAGGATGGTTTTGAACAGTTAATAATGACTCCTTATGGACCCCGTCACAGCACCGTGTGCCGTCCTCACCTCCTCTCTGCGCTTCTGCCAGCGGCCGCAGGGACTCTCCTCCAGGATGTCGGACTCGTCCTCGCTCTCGTCCTCATCCTCGGTCGCTGTGGTGGCAGAATGCCGCAGCGAGGCCCCGGGCGAAGAGGCAGATGCCCCACTGGACACGTGTATTGCTGGGACCTCTAGCTTGTTTCCCTCTGCATCCGGAGCTCCTAAATCCTGTGCCTCCAACATTATGAGGCCACCGGTGTGCTTACCGGCTTTCCCCCCCGCTCGGTTCCTCCTCCGGGGGCTGCAGTAAGTTACAGGAAGCCTCTTTCTTGCTTCCTTTTCTCTCGTTTGAGCAGTTCACAGGTCCATTTTATTATCTGGCCTGGCTTTTAACAAGGTAGAGCTCAAAGAAGGGGCTCTGTGCACAGTGACAGACATTAGTCATTAGATGTGTAGCCTTTGGTGGTAACATTACACATTATTATATATATTTTAACCTAAAGTAGCCCCATCTAAGGTTAGTTAGCTTAACAAGTTACCCTACCTACAAAGGGACGAACTTATGTCATAAGCTGGTAACATTAACTTAGCTTGGACTTAGGCAGAGAAACATTACTGAAACATCGGTTAGTCTAAAGAACTAACGTAGGAACCAACTTAACTGTAGTTATTAATATCCAACGTCAGCTTAGAGAAGTTCAGCTCCCAGTCATTTGCTAACTTTACCCGGCTAACAAGCTAATGAAAGGTAAATAAACAACTAATGACGTTTAAGCATAAATATAAAAAACAAAAATCCTACCGTGGAAAAGGAAACTCCCGGCGAATAATGAGGCTTGTGTTTCATACTGGGGAAAAGGCAGTAACAGGAGACGCTTTTAGACAAAAAAAAAGCTAGCTAGTTCGTCATAAAATATGTTGTTGGGTTTCAAGTCCCTTTCTCTTAGCAGAAGTGGGAGGGGCGGGGCAGCACTTGAGGAGCGCTTAACTGCGCGCAGGAAACGCAGTGGTGTTGAGTTACTTCTCCACTAGCTTCAGTTAGTGGAACGCACGGTTGAATGATATATATTAAATAAAATAAAAAGAGTACCCTACACTAACAGTGGTCATGTGTTTGTGGTCAACATATTTTTTTTAACTCTGGAGTCAACGTAACCCACATTTACCGGTATACTGCTTACGGCGCCGTAGCTAATTTAGTCACTATTTAACAATTTTTTCAACTTTTAAACGAGGTTGCAATCTCGAAAGTAATTTTATAAAATCAAGTGACCAAATGAATAAATACCTCGAAGAAGAATCAAGATGCGGTAACCATAGGCGGTAACGACCCCCTGCTTTGATTGGCCCGTCCCGGGTACAGGAACGCCCACCTTTTTTTCTTCTCTACTTTGTCAGCACGCCGCTGAATTTCTCTTGCAGTAGGATTCTTGTGAGCCTGGAGGACATTGAGATGTTAATGGTAGTAGTTTAACAAACGTATTTAGGTATCGTGAAGTTCCACTAAACGTTTTAGCTTCAGTGTCATTAGCGTTTCACGTTAACATTACGTAGCACAAATGGACGTTAACATGCATGCAAGTTCTGCATGAAATAAGTTTACATTATTTGATTTTAAAAAATCGCAAATCCATACATGGTACGCTATATCATCATTGTGAGCCAACCTATGACATTAAAAAACAAAGTGTACGGGGGCCAACATACGTCGCTTAAGCAAAACCGGAAATTGTCGGAGGTGAACTATCTTGTCTCGCCTGCGGACCGTTTGTACAGCTGTTTCACGTTGCTGATATTCTGCGCAAGATGTTATCCACGATATACACGCGAGACAGCGATGGAAGCAGCTTCGCTGGAAAATAAAGACATTATTGTGTGGCTTCCCTTTCCATAAGGAGGCCCGCTGTGTCTCCTCGCCCACCATGCGGAGACTCAACGACACCGACGCCGTCCGTATGTAACGGATATTTTATGGAAGGTGGAGCGAGAGGAGATGTTGAGCGGCCGGGGAGAGTCGGGACATCGGCTGTGTTTGGAAGACGAGCCGTAGCAAGCTAGCTCTCGTGACAGCAACGGAAACGGTAATAACGGAACGGTGACTTTTCTTTTTTCTCCGCACGACGACCCATCGGTTCGGTCATCATGGCTACGGATGGCAACAACTTAACGTCAGGGATGGGAGAGATCATCCAGCTGAACGTCGGTGGGACAAGGTGAGCTTCGTCAACAGGACAGCCCGAATGCTGATGGTCATCATTTGGGAAACACGAGCAGCGTAACGTTAATTACGTGTGTGATAATCTGCATGACCGAGCATGGATGTGTACTTATTCTCTCTCTCTCTCTCATACACGCGCACTCACACGCGCGCACGTGTGGCATCTCCCCAAGCATCGTTATTCACTGCCCCTCAGATCGTCCTTCACAAGTTGTTTGTAATAATTGTATTCTAGGTTCAGCACCTCCAGGCAGACTCTGATGTGGATCCCGGACTCTTTCTTCTCGAGGTGGGTTTAATGTTGTCAGCAAGTTGGCCCTATTTTTCGAAACTCGCACGATCTAGACGGCCTGTACAACGTTAGAGATCTGAAGAATCGATTGTAAGTGCTGGAAAATTAAGTTGAGAGCGTGAGGAACATTTGGCAAAGATGGAACATAATCTGTCTGCATAACAGTGTTCTGATATACTGTACACATTCGGCGGGCTTAAACCGCACTAACACAGGACACGAAAATGTTATTAGATACGGAATGTAAAGAAGCAGTAGTCTACTTTTTTGTCTATCGCTTGCTTCACACCTCAAAACATTGTAAGGATTGGAAGACGTGAGTAAATCAAGTAAATCAAGTTAACTGCGTTACTTTTATTAATGTATGTATATATTTTTAATTCTTTGAGGTAAAAGCTATGTTTTGATATTATTATCAAAATTACCAATATTACACATGAACATCATGGTAGCCATCCCATTCTTTAACTTTTGGGCACTTTTGCAAACTTATTTATAATACACAGAGTGAGTTTATGTTTCGGCATCCCTCAGTGTTTTCATATGTATCTGGTGAGTTATTTAGGTGTGAGGCCGCCGTTGGGCCGGGCAAACACCGCGCTCGTAAACAAACTCCCAACACCGCGAGCTCACAGTTGGAGAACAGCTGACCAAGTAGTGCTAAATGCCTGTCAGCCCGTCTGCCAGTGCACCTGTCGGCCTGCCCGCCTGTCAGTCTCTCGGGCCTCGGCTGTCTGCGGTGTGCAGTCGATGTGAAGTCACTCTTCACACGCACCTGCAGCACATGCTGATGCAGCACTAATCTGTAGTACAGAGTCCACAGGTAAGAGTCATCCTGCAAAGGGCTTGTGTGTTGGCTTCAAGCAGAGGTAACACGGCTGGTGAGTGTAAACGGAGACGTCTGTGGGTTAAACCGTGTGTGTGTTTGCGTGTGTGTTTTCCAGTCTGCTAAGTGGAAGGATATCCACTCTTCGTGATGAAACTGGAGCTGTAAGTAGAGCCTCTGTTGTTTCTTTATCTAAAACTGGGACAGCATCCCCACACAACACTCCAGCAGAGAGGACATGACATTTGTTCTGATGAACGTCCTGAAACGTGATGCATCACCCTCAGATTATCTGGGTACAGATACAATATCTATGTCATTATACCATCTGATACCATAGTAGACTGATTCTGTGTCTTACACCCACAGTCAACGTGTCACTGTTGACTTTCTTCCGATTGCTATGGTTAGATAATGTTCTGTTTTGTGTAGGTATACAACTGATGATCATTTTTAATCACAGATTCATCCCACAATTTTCTTCCAATGTCAGAAAATAAGACCGGCCCATTATGATTGTAAACAATTCTCTTAGTGGTGAATAGCATTATAATATGTGTTCCTCCACTTCCAGATATTTATCGACAGAGACCCCACAGCTTTCGCACCAATTTTGAATTTCCTCCGAACCAAAGAATTGGACCTGCGGTGAGGAGTCCCTTTCCCCTTCAGGACATGTCTCAGGATCTTTATTTTTGGAAGTGATTATGTTGAATCGTATCCAGCATTTTACTGAATACTGCTACTATTTCTGTCCCTGTAGGGGGGTCAACATCAGCGTCCTGCGACATGAAGCCGAGTTTTATGGAATAACCCCTCTAGGTGTGTTGCTTTACAGACTTTTTGGAGGAAATGGATGCAGAACGCAATGTTTTTAGCACAAGTAGTGACAACACATTAGATACATTATGGAAACCTTAGGCACCCGTTTGTTCTGCAGCCAATACTCAGTACCTACAACATCACCAGGTACTGAGTAGCAGCTGTGCATGTGGGCTTTCTCCGACCTGTCGATAAAGGGACATGTTATTCTCGCTCTAAATACCATTAATGAAAAAAAACCTTATTTCTGTTTGTTCCATGTACTCCATCCTATTACTTCCTGTTTCAGTGTTCACTTCCCTTCATTGTCTGTGTTTGAGTGGGGAAGTTACCTTTTGTAAAAACTGATCACCTGCTTGAATTCCTAATATGCACACGATATGAATCAACGCAAAGGAATTACTTACAATTTACTTCATGCATTGTTTCAACTTAAAGACATATTATCAGGCGTATCAGAGATTAAATCCAGAGAACATAAGGAGAATTTCTTCAACACAAATAATGACAAGATTTGAAAATACGATGTATAACCATTGGTAAATATAACCATCCATTATCTTACTTGTTCTTGTTTACAGTATTTAAATAATCATGTGATTTTGTGAAAGATCTGTCATGTTACTTTGGTCATCATAGGCTCACTGAAGTGTGTGTGTGTGTGGCAGTGCGCCGCTTGCTGCTGTGTGAGGAACTAGACCGCTCATCGTGTGGTAGCGTTCTCTTCCATGGTTACCTGCCGCCTCCAGGTAAAGACGAGAAACAGAGTCTTTCAGAATATGTACTGAAAATTCAGTACACCAGTTAACTGTCGACTAAATATGTAACTCAAGTTCCATAAACGGCTGCTGGAAGTAAATAACACAACAACAACAACAACAACAATAAATGCCTGTGTAATGTGCCCTGACAGTCGTTCCTGCCCGTAAATCCAGCGCGGCGGCCCTGGCGGTCTCTGGCCCCCCCTCTGAGGAACGGCCGGGTCCAAGTGGAGCAGAGTGCTTCGCCCGTGTTGGCCCCCCTCCCCACCCGTCCCTCTCTGGCTCACCTGGAATAGACGACAAGCAAAAACTAGGTGAGAAACCTAAGCCGGCCCCAGGAAGGTGTCCCAATTTAAAAGATCGCGAACGTTGGTGATCTGTAGATTATGTATGCATGTGTACATGTACTAGTCCTCCATCTCAGCGCAGAATAGAAAGCAGCACATTTTTATACGCTTTTATGTGCTTGTGCTTGTCGGTTATTCAGACAGTGACCCTGCAGCACTCTCTGCCTTCTGTCTGCCATTTACCGCATGTGCTAGTATGCACCATGTGACTTGGAGACATGAAGAGAGCACACGTGTGCTGTTTACGCTTCTCCACGTGTGCATGTATTTCTGAGTGTGCATTATTGCTGCAGCTAATGCAACCTGACACGTCCTTTTAGTGCGCTTACTGAGGGTAGCCTAGTTTCACATCGGCCTACTTGAGGATGACATCACAGAATATAGTTAGCTACAATAAACATGCATGTGCATGGTTGAACAGTAACTGATGCATGGTTACTGATGCAGAAGGATGTCTCACATATCAAGAATTTGTTAAGTAAACATCATAGATTTTTGACTAGTTCTTGCACTTTTAAACACATACCATGGAATTCAATAATATAGATAATGACAAATAATGGAGTGAAAACAAAATGGATATAAAGTCTGATTATCAGACAACAAAAAGGGGGGGATTTCATTTTCATTTTGTCTCTGTGTGCAGGTCCTGTGATTGACCCGAGGAAAGTGTTGATTATAGCGGGACACCACAACTGGATTGTAGCAGCTTACGCACATTTTGTCATCTGCTACAGGTAATTCTGCCCCAACATGGTTGGTTTAAACGTTTATCATCTGTTCTACAGTTCAAAAGGGGGAAACGTTAAATTATTTCTGATGGAAAGAGTCCTTATCTGTTGTGTCTCACATTTCTCACATAATTCTTTTATATGTGTAGCGGCCGAGTGCAAAATCAGCTTTGTCTCTATGCACGTTCTGTTAGAGAACTTTGTCTTTATAAAAAACCAACAGACAAATCAGTACAAAATGTCATTTGGTTTGTATTGATTGTTTTACCAGCCTGTGGGAAACGTGGTAATGAAAGCTGTCTTTTAAGAAAAAATCTTAGGCATGGCAAACGCTTTCAAAACTGACCTATTAGTTCATAACTTCTCTGTGTCATTTAATATAAAACACACAATTTGGTCAAGAACAAAAGCCGATGCTGATGCTTGTCTGTGTGTGATCTCGCCACAGGATAAAGGAATCTTCTGGATGGCAGCAGGTGTTTTCTTCCCCTTACCTCGACTGTACCATTGAACGCATCGCCCTCAATGCCAAAGTGGTGGGCGGCCCGCATGGAGACAAGGACAAGATGGTGGCCGCCTCCTCTGAGAGCAGCATCATCCTCTGGAGCATCCAAGACGGAGGCAGCGGAAATGAGATAGGTAAACACACCAATACCCACACTACTACTTTAGTATTCCAGATTAAAGTTTAGTATTTCCCAAAACATAGTTTATCAAATGCAGTATTATAAAACATGCAAACACGCATGCAACAGTATGTACCTTTAAAGAGCGGCTGCAGAAGTTACTCAAATACCAAATAAAAAGTTTACGTAGTTTCTTCATCCTTGTGTCTACGGACTCTTTTGCTAATTTGTGACCCCCTTTGACATCCTTTTCCCATCAACCACACAAACTCACATTAAGTCCTTCCTCCCCACCACTTCAGGTGTATTCACTCTCGGTGTACCTGTGGATGATCTATTCTTTATTGGGAACCAGCTGGTGGCAACGAGCCACACAGGGAAGGTTGGGGTGTGGAATGCCGTCACACAGCACTGGCAGGTAAGGGTGCGTTTGTGTGCGTTAGAAGTAGAGAGGGGGGGGGGTGAAGGAGTGCAGAGTCTTTGATTGTCTTGCATGTTTGTGTTTTAATATTTTATTGAGTAAGTGAACATTAGTCCAAGGTTAATAAATGTGTATTTATTCTAAAATGTACCATTAATTGAAGTCTGTGTGGTTTTAATTGAGGGATTGAAACTTCTCAGATTGACACTGCAATAATTAATGAGCTCCCTTGTTTGTGTTGCGTTGTTTAAGGTTCAAGACGTGGTTCCCATCACCAGTTGTGACACAGCGGGCTCCTTCCTACTACTGGGCTGCAACAATGGGTCCATCTACTACATAGGTACACACATCTTTATACAAACACTGATGTGTGTTCACACGTCGGGTTTTCCCATGTCCTGTCTGACGCTCAATTTAAGGAATGTGTGAAGTTAATGGAGTGACTTGTTTGATTGTTGCTGATCACGTGCTATTAAAAAGTACTTTGGAGATGTGTTTTTCAACAACAGTAATCATTTCCCTGGATGCTGGATCTAGATGTTGTCTTGTGAATTTCTGCCTTTCAGACATGCAGAAGTTTCCTCTGAGGATGAAGGATAATGACCTTCTAGTGACAGAGCTTTATCACGACCCTTCAAATGATGCAATCACTGCGCTGTCTGTCTACCTCACACCCAAAACCAGTCAGTTCACTAGTTTTACTCCTTTAATAATATGGAGGAAAAATGTTCTTCCTGCATACGCTTGCCTGTATTCTCTCCCTTTGATACTGTTTCATACCCCCCCCCCCCCTACTCCCTCCTCCTCTCCTCTCTCAGGCGTGAGCGGGAACTGGATAGAGATCGCCTATGGGACTAGCAGCGGTGCGGTGAGAGTGATTGTGCAACACCCGGAGACGGTGGGATCGGGTCCACAGCTTTTTCAGACGTTCACTGTGCACAGGAGCCCGGTGACAAAGATTATGCTCTCTGAGAAACATCTGGTATCAGGTGAGGAAGGAGGTTCACACCAGAAACACATTTCCTGCACAAGTAGTGTGGGACTGATGCCGCGGCAACCCTTCTCAGTTTGAAATAAGAATAAATAATAATTTATAATGAAATAAAATGAAACATCCAGGCCATTGTGAAAGGCAAACTTGGGGTGACCACGGCAACGCGAGCAGCTTTCATTGTGCAGCTCTGACAAGCAGTGGACGGGGCGTTAGACAACCAGTTTCTCTGTAGACCGGGAACTGGAGCCCTAATATCTGACAAAGCAATACTAGTAGACTGTGTACAACAATATTCTTCTCCGATTTACTGCACTCTCTGTCACGCCCTTGGGTGAATAATTGTGATCGATATCTTGTGTTGTTTTTCTGGGTGTGTCAGTGTGTGCAGACAACAACCACGTGCGGACGTGGACGGTGACCCGCTTCAGAGGGATGATCTCCACCCAGCCTGGCTCCACCCCTCTGGCTTCGTTCAAAATACTGTCCCTGGAGGAGACGGAGAGCCATGGGAGCTACGGCTCTGGGAACGATATCGGTGAGAGAGTACAGAAGAAGAGAGGAGGCAATACAGACACACACAGAATACGGGCAACACGAGTTAAAGAGCTACCAGTCTATCACAGACAGATCGCCTACCAGAGACAAACCCAGCGCCAATGGTATTTTTAATCCAGGTTTAAGACTGGTGTGTAGGTAAAGACGTTTTGTGTTTTCTGCCCTAAGGTCCCTTTGGAGAGCGAGACGATCAGCAGGTTTTCATACAGAAGGTGATCCCCATCACCCACAAACTGTTTGTAAGGCTCTCATCCACTGGAAAGAGGTAATCATCATCTGGCTTCCTCTTTCACCATTCCTATCTAACTCTTTTATTGTCATAAATGGCAGGATTGTCTTATTGTAATTGAACTTATCGGGTAATACTTTGGTTTGGCTTTGTTACATGTTTGTGTGTGTGTGTGTGTGTTTTCTCAGGATCTGTGAAGTGCAGTCAGTGGATGCGACCACCATCTCTTGCTTTATGGTGCGAGAGTGTGAGGGTTCGAGCCGTATGGGGTCGCGACCTCGCCGCTATCTGTTCACTGGTCACGGCAACGGAAGCATCCAGATGTGGGACTTGACCACTGCGATGGACACCGCTACTAAAGGAGAGGAGAGGAAGAGAGAGGGTGAGAAGATCGTGGGAGAAAAGAGCGAGTGGATCTAATATTCTGAATATACATTGGACAACTCCACGTAGGATCAAATCGATTATTCATTTTGATGAAATACTGAACGTGTTTGACAGATGCAGGTGGGCCTACAGAGGAAGAGCTACTGCAGCTGTTGGATCAGTGTGATCTTAGCACCTCCCGCTGTGCCACACCAAATATCAGCCCGGCCCCATCCATGCTGCACCAAACACGACTCAGAGAGTCCTGCTCGAGGTTAGAGACCACATTAAAGACATAAAAGGACACAACTATACAATAAGGAAACAATCAACTCCACCCAACCCTTCCTCTTCCTAATTATCGCTACAAATACAGCGACACACACACTTATACACTAAATAATGAGCCGTCAGAAGTGCAGTACTAAAATGCAGTCTGTAAAGTGTTAAAGTTCTTATGTCTCACTATTTTATTTCCCCCAGTCTCCAGTTACAGGCCCAGGAGCCCATTTCTGAAAGTCCGGCTACGTACGGAGCTGTGCGACCCTACAGGGAAAGCCCCGTGCTGGCCCGGGCTCGACGAACGGAGTCCTTCCACAGCTACAGGTGAAATCACATGATTGTGCTGCATCGCAAATTCATGTCGACCCACATTACAAAAAGCACAAAGCAAGACTTTCCAGAAGAATGTAAACAGCAACTGCTAACTGGGAAACATTGCCCGTCACTAAGCACCATGGTGCCCAGCCGCTGATCCGGGACGACCGGATATAGTCAGGTCTTTGCAACGTGTCTCACTTCCCATTGCAGGGTCACTAGCTAGTGAAGCTCATTTAGCGGCCCTCCTCCCTGGCGGTCGACCCGCCTCAGGAAGCCATTGGTCCGGCTGGGTGCGCGTAAAATTAGAGTGGGCAGTGATTGTCCCAAGGGCCGCTGCATGTTATCCAATCCCTGTGCTTCCTTTTCCAATGGGTATCACTGTCATGGCCATCCATGCTCCAGTAACAAAAGAGGTAAATAATTCAAACAATCTACCACATTTATGTGTCAACGTTAAAGTTAGAAGTTGGCTAAAAACGGCATAACAAACAAATCAATTTAACTCCGAAATCTGACAGATATCTCAAAACCATAAGACTACTACAGTGATGCTCCACACTGTACTCACACCGGATTAGTGGGATCTAGCAGATTAAGCCAAGGAAGAACCGATCAGCCATGGACAGAGCGGGGACGCAGTGAACATTCCCTCCAGAACCTGGTTTTGAAATGGAGCCTCCCTGCGTTCCACTATAATAACAAATGTGAAATGCTGTTTATGCAGAGCTGTAGATTTCTGCTGTTTGGTTCATGCATCCAGGCACCTGTAACGGACTCCATCCATCTTTCTTGCAACAGAGACTTCCAGAACTTCAGCCTGAGTCGAGGCGTCCTGGACAGCACAGGTCAGCAGAGCGCACAGGGCCCCGCCCCCGACGCCCGCCGCTCGCTCTGTGACTTCGGGTCCGAAGACAGCGAGAGGAGAGCCACGGCGATGGAGTTCTGGGCCTGCCGAACGGCCAGCTCAAGCTCCAACACCATAACTGGAGCCATGGCGACCGCCAGTTTCCCCGGGTTGAAGACGGAAAGCGGCCCGGAGTCTCCGCGACAAGCCCCCAACAGCCCGATTCCCGGAGGAGACGTCAGCCGAAGGTGCCCCTCAGCCGAGGAGGGACGATCAGCGGAGAAGGAGTCAAGCGAGGGTGTGTCAAAAAAGAGGGGAGTGCTTGGAGAGCGGCTTTCTGAGGAGAAAGAGGGCTCCCCCAGTCCCCCACCTCACCTCCCTCCCCTCCGGATCCGACGGCGGTGGCAGCGACTCGTCTTCCACTGCCTCCCCCTCCCCAACCAAGCTGTCTCTGTCCACCTCACCCCGACACAGGAAGCTCGCCCCCGAAACGTCCAATCAGGACAGCAGCCTGTGACGGCGCTCACCACATTAGAGCAGTGGTCTCGTGGAGGAGTCCTGCAGGGGCATGCGGGAGACGAGGCCTAAGAATCACAGGAAAGGAGGAAGGGGGCCGAGGGGTGGTCCAGGACGTAGGTCCCTCTTGTTTTGGGACTGGTCTCCCAACTCGGCTCCTTTTTTCAGTGCAACTCATCGGTGTCTTACCTTTTAATTACAGAAGCACTTCTCCTTTGGACATGAAGGAGAAGTTGCCACATCCCAGCGCAAATAGAACGGCATCTCAACCGGGGAAAGATATCAGTTTTGGTTAATTAGAGGATTTCAAGTTTTATTGTAAAATCCGCTGGGAACGACGAGCTCGTAATCTCAGTTTCTGTTGGCGGAACAGATGACGGAGGACAGTGACGGAGCGTTTGGCACGTGCCATCACGGGTGAATTGTTGCGGCTGTTTGGTTGAAGCACAAGCAGGTGTTAAGCCAGCGATGTAAAGCCTGTGTCATTAACTCATCATGGTTCAGGTACATTACAGTGACAGTACAAGTAATAGAATTGGGGTAAATCTATGTAATGAGCTTTTTTTTTTATCTTCTGAGGCCCTTAAACAGATCATGCAAGCAAAATGAAATTTTCAGAGTCACAGTTTGTACTTGACTGATAAATATTATAATACAAGTTTTTGACGTTCAGTCAGGAATTAAGTTTTTTCAGAACTTGATACAAATTATTCAAGCTTACTTCTGCATCTGTTTTCAAACAGAAGGCTAACAACTAAAATGATTCTCATGATCAAGATATAAGCCAAAAATAATGCAAATCACTACATTTGAAAAGGTGTATTTCTATTTGTGTCAAGTAACATTTCTTTTGAGTGACCAAACCATTGACTGACTAATCGTTTCAGCATTTCGCCCCTTTTGAAAGTATCTATGACAACATGTGCAATCTGTCGCAGCCGGAGCCGCGGCGGCTACTTGAACCCCCCCGTGCGTCCACTTCGCCGCAGCCAGAGACTCCGTGTCTTCTTATTGTTGAAGCAAGAACATAGAAAGCCACACCTGGCTGTTTAAAAAAAAAAAAAGTATCTTTACAAGTTCCAGGATACTGTAGCTGTAGCATAATGGCCTCACTGCTCCTCAACGAATGGAGAATAATTACCTGCAAAATGGCCGTTCAGAAGTCGACTTGTCGTAGTCCAACAGGAAGCGCACAGGTGAAACCAGCTGTGTGGCTCGTTTCCATCGAGTGTCCCGGCCAGCCGGCATCCACGGGACACCTGTGCTTTTACTGCTGCGATGAGCCAAAAGTCTACATTTTGAGGAATTCTTCATAAAACATTCTGTAAATGTGAATTAGAAAAAAAGGGAAACAAAAATACGGTGAAGAAAAATCCAATATGTAAGAAGGAATGCTTTGTGGTGTCGCTTAAACCAAGAGAATGAATTCACTGTTCACACAACTAAGTTCAGTCCTTTGCTCTCTCCTGTACAAGAGCACACTAATAATTATTATTTATATTTTTAAACACTATAACTACACTCAACTCGATAGAAGGACCTGGTAACTCACTTTACTCCCGTTCAAACAGATTGTTATGTGTCTTGTTTTGGTTTGGATGACTGTTGCAGTGCCTTATTTAACTTGTTTGACGGTTGTTAGCCTGTTTGTGTGTTTTCTTTTTTTGTTGAAAAGGATTTTGACCAAAGGCTTGTGAGGAATGTGGTGCTTCGTAACGGACCTGTCCACTCCGGCTTTGGATGAAGCTCTGTCCTGGTACATTTACAACAGTGCAAATCAGATTTTATGAGTGGTCACATCGTAAATTGTACATAATCTTGACATAGGTGAAGACTGTAAAGTCCATCTGGGTAGTTGTGAAGGTCTAAACTGACAACGGAAAGTTAAATGGCAGCAACCTTAATTTGTGAGCTAAACCCGTTTCTTCGCTGTGATATTTCCACTAGCTGAAGAACAGGAAATCCAGCTCTTAAACGATGGTACTTATTTGTAATTGTTGAGGGGGACAACATCAAGAATTGGACTGTGAAAATGGCAAATACAACCATTAATAACAATCTGCCAAATCCAGCAGCTATAAGCCTTCAAGTTGATTTTAGCACATTGCTTTTTATTTCAACCTTAACGGATCAACCGACCATGTCGTCCCTGACTGTACAAAGATGTACATTTTTATACACTTATTAACTGTCTGAAAAGTGGACACTTGTATTGAAAACAAAATCCTAATGTGGATGCATTAATGTGTGTTAATGTGTGTGGATACTTACTACTGTCGTCATTACGTATTGTTGATAATCATAAATGCTTATATTGATTTTCCTTTGGACCTAACTGCATCTGCACTTGCACTATTAAGACTGATAAAGTAAATTGCTAGTGTTTATTTTATATAAAATATATAAAGTTTATTTCAGCACATAATTGTCCGTCCGTCCTTAACCGTTGTCGCTCTCTGGCTATGTTTACATTATATGACGGCCAGACGCTAGCGAGCTAAAAGTCATACATAGGTTTGTTTAAACTGCCCTGTACAACATTGTTAACCACATGTATGTAAACAATGCTGCATTATGTTGTAATTCCATTTACAATGCTGACCCAATAATCAAGTATAATGTAACAATGAACACATCAGAGTCTCGATGCAATTAAACTTCAACTGTGTTCACTAAACCTCTCAAAGCTGGTTGTGTTTCCTTTATTTTCAGAAGATAGTTTACAAAGATGGAAAGTTTTAACACGTTCAGGAGAATTAACTTCAATCCAGCGTCCTCTACAACATTAAGAGTAACTAAAAACATTAAAGTATTTGGGACCGGAGATGTTTTAATCTTGGAAATAAATTTAAAACGGATGTTGATTAAAGCAGTTTAGACTATATTTACAGTTTCACCTTGAATAAAGACGGAAGCAGAAAGCGGTCCAGTGGAGGCTTTTAGTCTTCAGCACATTGTGTGGAGAAGCACCGTCTTGGTTTTGTTTGAGCGTCGCAGGTGTGTATGTGAGTCTCCCCAGCGCTTTAATTTCACTAACCTTCCCGTTCAGACAGTCTCCTCTCTGAGACGTCGTCATCGTGATTTATGAGTTTAATAAAACCCTGTGTGTGTGTGTGTGTGTGTGTGTTAGTAGCTCAGGGCCATACTGTCCCTTACAATCACTCCACACGCTCTCTTTTCACCACCTCTCCCTCCCTCCACGGGTGACGATAGCTGTGAACGTTTGTGCCCTTATCAGACCGGCGTCCTTGAGCGAGTGCACGCTTTTTGCTGCCAGGTTGTTCATTTTAAAACTTGCCGTGATGTTCCCTTAAGGGATGCAGGGGCAAAACTAAACGACTGCTGCATAGCTTCGATTTGAGATACCGGCCTGGCGTGTGTGTGACTGTGTGGTGACTAAATATCTGCACAGCTGTACTTTAATAACTCAGCAGAAAGGATCAGCACGTCATCGACGGCTTGATCCCTGCGACCGGTCTGAGGCACATTAAACGAAGCGCTGCCTCAGAGTTAAGATCAATGCAAGTCTGGACTGAGGCCTCCTATTAATGTCATCATGGAACAAATATTCACTAATGGATTTTCTGTCCTCACGCATCCATATGGAATTGGTTCTTTTGTGTCTTAATTTTGGCTGCTGCTGCTTCTCACAACGTAGTTAAACAATATTAAAACGCTATGAAGTGTTTTGATTCTCTTTTACAGGAACACTGCACCCATTTTTGACTGTATGAACTATATTTTAAGATTATTAAACTTGTGTAGCATTGTTACTAGATGGAAAGAAATCAAAGAATCTCTCCTTGAACATCTAAGAATGAAGAACTGGAACCAACATGTGTGCTGCCAAACAAGAAATCTATAACGGAAATACAGTTATGCTGAAAATGTTCCTTATGGACCAGAGTACTGTTCACAATTTGATGCGTTGATATTCCAAATTATTTTCAAATAAAGAAAATTTGAGAAAAACAAGAATATTTTCTCAACAATTCTTTACTCAGAAAAACCCAAACACTTATCAATGAATCATCTATAAATAAGACGTATTTTTTACAACAACCATAAATAATACTGACAGTGTAAACAGGAAAAGGGTTTTCACAACAATATTTAACTTTGTACATAAAAACACTACCATCACTCAGTAACACCACACAGTGAAATATCCTGTTGTCATAAATACTGTTTCTATGATGTTTAACTTGAAAATTAAAGGCTTAGATTGTTGATTCCAAATCTAAACAAAGTTGTATTCCTGCTATAACTTTAAAACAGGACTTTTTTATTTCCTGGATTCCAAAATTATGAAATCCAACTTACATTAATCTTTACAAGTTAAACAAAGTTTAATTTCATGATCTAAAATTGTTTACCGCAACAACTGATATGGGAGAAAAAGAAATCTCAGATTGGGCTTTCAAAAGACATCACATAATCACACCAATCAGACGGCACATCAGTGTTTCCCAGACACATTTCAAATATTAAAATGAAGACAATAAAGAAAAAAAGAGTTGGCGTTGGCCATGTATTAAGGCCACGTGTCTTATTCAGCTAATGGACCAGAGCTGCTGCTGACGTATTGAAAGCTCACTAGGCACCATGTCAATGAAACCTTTCATAGAAACTGGTACGATACTTCTACAAAAGTTTGGTTCCAAATAACGACAAGCCAACCTGCTATAGCGGATAGTTATACATTTTTTTAAACGAGTAAACTAAACAGTTGGCAAGTGGAGACAGCGACCAATAATACAGTCAAATACGATTGGTTCTTTATCTGAGAAGAAGTCCATATTCAAACTACATTCATGCTCAAGTTACGGCTTTTAGTCCCAACGGGGAGTCACACACGCAGTCGGATAAGACAGCCGGCTGTTTTCACTGGACATTTGTTTCTAACTTTCTAAATCATATTTCATGCGTTGTGAGATGTTCCTATCTGTCCTCATCTAACATCAAATACCTGCTATGTATTTCTAGTTTTGCTCGAAACTAGGTTTGATTCTCGACTGCGGCACCTGATGAGATGCAGGGATCCTAAAGATGAGTGTCAGTGAACATGGTTTGCTCCTTTTTCCCTCCTCTTAAGGACTTAATGGCGTCCACGAACTCCTCTTCCTCCACACACTGAAAGAAAACACATGAGATTAGAATCAGGTCTCGAGAAGTCGGAAAAGCCCACAGCGTCAAATCTCTTGGTATCTTTGTGAAGTGAAGTGGAGCGTCAGTTTCCCACAAATGATTTCTCAGAACCCGAGTTAGTTATTTACCACAGAGTCAATGCAACTGGTATCACTGATACAACTGTTAATATCAAATCATCCTTCAGGAGAGTCATTTCAACATATAACATCTACACATATTTCCATCCTCACCAGTCCAGAGTCATGTCCCAGTGGGTTGTCCCAGCTTCCTTCCTCCAACATTAGTGACTTCCTGTCAATCAGCTGACTGACGCTGCGGTGCAGGGAATGCTGGGAGTAAGCCTGACTGAGGTCTGTCTGGCTCGGGACTCGCAGGACCGACATGGGGCTGAAGCGGGAGCTGCTGCCGACTATCTTTGTGTCGGTCAGACCCTGAAACATTCATTTTTATTTTTATAGAAGATATTTATAGGAAATTCAAATATATGTATGTCTCACTCTCAAATATCAAATTTGAGTTATTCTTTGAATCCAAATATTTATCAGCCGTCATTCCAGCAACGATCAGCAGGGGGCGGCACTCAGCAAGGATTGGCCCTCCGGCTCAATTAGGAGCGGGACTGAGATTCACAAAAACCCAGCAGACGCACAACAAAATCGTTCTTGAACCACTTCTTGAAATTGAGATAAAGTAAAAAAAACTATTTTCATTTGCAGGTGAAGTACTATAAAGCGACAGCCTGCACAGCGTATCTTACCGTAACAATAATTACACTCACACACACAGCATGCATTTACAAACACAACAGACATGCAAAGAAAGGCGTCCACACAAATCCACAGTCCCGTACCTCAGTGAACACAGTGAAGCTTTTAAGTATAACGTTGCTGATCTCAACACAGTCTGCTACAGTGTCAAACTGCGGGAGGGGGGGGGACAATAAAATACACATTTAAGGTTTTGACAGTAAATTCGTATATAAACAGTCTTACTGTGGAACGGTCAGGAAGCAGCACAGAGCTGGAGTGATGTTTAGAGCACAATTCAGGACAGGGCCTCTGAGAGAGACACACAGAGACAGAGAGAGAGAGAGAGAATACATATATAACAGAAAATAAAAGTACAATTTTTTCCATTTCTAAAATGCTTTTTTTTATGGGCATGATAAAAACGTCTGTATAAACCTATTTCAGAGTTTGATTTATGTACAAACATCCAACCGTTTTTTTACTGCTATGTTTCTGTTACGCAACTCTTTGTGTAGGTAAGATTTAACAAGGGCATCAAGCAGGTAAAAATACCGGTAAAACTCAACCAGTCACTCACTGGTATCGCAGATCCTCATCTCTATTCAAAGAACCGCTTTTCCAGTTATTTTTTACAGTTGCAGCGCCCCCTGGTGGAGCATAAATTAAGACAAAGCTGCTCTTGCAAAGAGATAATTCAAAACATGTGAAAAATCTGCCGAAAAAAAGTAAGTATTTAGATGTGTTTTGATTAAGACTAGTGAGTTGAATAAATCAAACCAAACACTTTTGAAAGTGTCGTGTGTCCTTTGTTTTTATCTCCGCTAACGTTTCTCATGCTTTTACCTCTTAGTAACACCGACTACACCTCTGTGTCTCTCTTACTGCATTCGGCACGTTCAACCATCTGGTGGTTCCGTTCTCTGAGTGCCTTTCCTCTCTACTCCTCTCACCATGTACGCCTCTCCCCCGGCCTTCCGCGTCTTCTGAAGCATGACCAGCGGGGGGCGCTCTCTGGCCGATGGATTCTTCCTTAGGGCTCTAAAAAGAAAGAAAAATCATCCCCTCCCTTTTGCTCCGGTTCGGCTTTGGATGTAAACTACTTTTTCACACACTGAAGTTTTAGCTTTATGTATTAATGCAGAGAAATGTTATATTCTGTTGTAATTATGCATGCAACATTAGAATACCTTTGCAGCACGAGGCCCAGCAGGAGGGCAAGCAGGAAGAGGCCGAGCAGCGATAACAGCAAGATGAACCACAGCTCAGAGTAAACCGGCGTTGCTGACATGCTGAGGCCCTCTTTACCGATGTCCTCATGCTCGGGAGGACCTGCACGGAGAGATAAACAAGTTATGAGCTGGACTTCAGCATTCGTTCCGTGCACTGTTTGTGTATTTAGTGTATTCATTTTCAATGACCTAACTCTGCCTAGATAAAAACAAATTCCTGAGACACCGACTAATGTTTCGATTCAGGTCTGATTTTGCACTACGGACTTTGTTGTGTGTGTGTTTGCGCTACCGAGGCCTGTGGCGGGGCTGTATCTGATGGTGGGAGTACTGGCGCTCCCACTGTTTGTGGTACAAGTCACCTGAAATGACAAAGCTAAGGGAAGCCGGAGAGAAAAAAAAAAGTGCGTATCAACCCGAGTTAGCAGCTTGTAGCACATCGTACGTGGATATGTATATCTGTGTGTGTGTTTTTACTTTTCTGTGAGGTGCGTGGAATATGGAGATAGCTGTAGAAACCAGTGTAGACCCGGAGCTGGCTCTCCGTCACACTGAACTCCTTCAGGTAGCCGTTGAGGGAGAAGGACCCCGTCCAGTCCAGCCAAATAACCGTCAGGTTGCTGTCCACCGGGAAAGGAGACACATACTGTGGGGCTGGAGGGGGACAGAGGGACACTTTGGTTGTGTATTCATGTTTCTTCAGACTGCTTAGCGGGGCGAGCTGAGGGACTCACCTTCACTGAGTGTTGTAACAGAAGTCCAGTTGGAGGCAGTGCTGCCCATGTTGTTGGAGCAGGCAGCTCTCAGCTGGTAGTTGGTGTATGGCTGGAGACCTGCACAGATGGTTGGTTGTCTATTCACAATACATAACGCGCGCACAGACACACACAACAACCCTGACCCCGTCCCTCTTTAAGTCTTTACAATTAGCAATTATCCTTCTTTGATAATGGCTTGCAGTCTATTTAAGTTCAGCTTAATTATTCTTACCTAATCACTGTTATAATATAATAATAATCTAATTTTTACTGAAAAATGTATCCGGACCACTTAGTTTGTATTTTAAAAACATCGTAACTTGACATAAATACAGTTACCTGTCACATTGTAGCTCCTCCTTTTACCAAAGAAAGTGATTTCCATTGGCCCTTTGATGCAAGGGAGCGGCACAGGCTGGAGAGGCTGCGGGCAGGGTGATCTCAGATGAAGTTCACAGCTGTAACCAGAGAGAAAGAAAGAAAAAATGAGCGAGTATGAAATCATCATATGTGTATCTGCTCGTGCCGAATGTCTCACTCCTTAATTCGTCTGATTGCAGATTTTTTTCACTTCAGTCTGTTGAAAATACAAGGAACAATGTACAGTTTGTCTGTTTTCTAGCGACCTCTCAATAACTCCATTAGGTGCCAAAGGCTCATCCCATTCCAGCTGCACGGAGCGGGAGGTCAGGGTGAGGGGGCGAGGGGGGGGCTGCTGGGCCGGGGGGGCTGCAAGGGTGTAGAGCTCACTGAGTGGACCCCGACTACAGCACTGTCAAATGTTCAAAAAGAGACAGTTCAAACAGCTTGTAGTATTTGAGTGAACAAGCACTGCGTCAGTAAATATGTAATATGTAACATCTATTTCATATTTAAAAAATAATAATATGAAGCAACTCTCATGTCATTTGGCCTGGCAAACTATGCACTCCCCAGACCAGTGATGTTATACAATGTATTGTCCTTCAATCAATTGACTGACATACTGCTATTACCTGATAACAGGTGCAGGCCTCTGCTCCAACCCAGTACTGAGTGTAAGGACGTAACCCATGGAGGGTCTGCTGATGGGATGTACCCTCTGACAGCTGACGGGAAGGGGAAGCAAATAGCCAAACAGTTGAGAAGCACATTTTGGGTCAGGATGAAGAATTCAAAGAAATCCAGCTGTGGATGTTGATGCAGTCTTATACTTCACCAGAGTATGGTTGTTGTAGTTCACCGAGAACACTCTGTAAAGGCTTACAACCCCGTTGGGCTGCGCGGGAGGATGGATCTCCACTAGTGCTGACGTTGCTGAAACATGCAGGAAAACAGGTGTGCCCAAACCCTCAGGCGGGGCAGGACCTGTTCGCCCATCGACCCACGAGCTGGCAGAACGACCGGCCAGATTCACAACCCACACCTGTCGGACAAAACCACATGCAAGTTAAAAACGTGATGATATTCAATTCACACGAATAACTCAGTAAGTCATACGGTGAGGTCTGACACTTTTTTCTGCAGTCATTTGGATGTTCGCTGTATTTTATTAGCTCTTAGTGATGAAAGCTTCTCTTAATAACGCAGTGTTCACCAGGCCACCAAAAATGATAGGAGTCAATTCATTGGACCATCCATCAAAACTACCATCCGCAGCGAGAGCAAAACCTTTTCAACATGCAACCCAACACCAACATATCTGCATGACAATTACTTTTCACCTTCATCAAGGAGTTATTCATTCTCTCACACACATGCACGCGCACACACACACACACACACACACACACACAGTAATCTTATTTGTGTGCTGGTGTTGGGTATAATTAGAGGGTGTACACAGCACAGGGTCAGGCAGGGTGGAGATTTGCATGTGTAAGTCATCTGTAGCCTGTCAGAAGTAGTGCAGAAGGCAGATGGATGGGTCAAGCTTTACTGGTGAAAAGTGTGTGTCCGCGTGTGTGAAGTGTGATGTGTTGTTTGTAGCTCTGATGACGAGTTGTGTGCGCGTGTGCTTGTGCATGCATCTGTGTTATGAGTTGAATTAACCTCAATAATAGTCAATTAGGCCGCGATCAATCAGACTGATTGATCTAAGTGACAGCACAGATGGACTGAGATGGGAGAGGGGAAGGAAGGATGGAAGATGGAGAGACTGGGAATGTAGAGGAGGAGGACACGGCGAAAGGTGGAAAAAGCACAAAAAGCGGGAGCAGGATAGATTTTGACGTAAGCCGCAAGACGCCAAATTTTGTGGCTCCAAACCAACCTGCTTGGACAATGTGAGAGGTTTGGCAATAAGATTGTTTTCCGTAAGTAGGAGTTGCATCGTTGTGTGCATGCAAATGGATCCAGATATAAGGGAGGAAACATTTATAGTCACTTTTTAAAATCCCGTCACACAAACCCAACATTTTAGTGTCCCATCCACTCAAATTAAAAAGGGACAGAGACGTCTGTCCTTGAAAGCGTTTTTAGAGGTAAGATGTGTTATTTCTCTGGCCCATTGAACGGTCTGTTGTTTTTAACAGGGATGAGCGGATCTAATGTGATGATCTAATGTGGTCATTGTTGTGGGCCTCACCAACTGCACTTTCCCTACTTATTTTTGATGCACCTTGTTTGTGTTTCAATCTCAAATCTGAATGAGCATCAGGCTGACAGCAACCTTTGATAAAAATCAAATATGGTCATATGGAAAATAGACACTGCAACCAACCGTTAGCTGAGAGAATGTGAATACATTTTTATAACACTAAAGATAAAAGTCTTTGCTGAAAAGAGATACATGTACTATACTTTGTTTTTACCTTCTGAGGAAAACTTGCCAATGGCTAAATCTGTCATATCGACATTATAAAGATTTCAATTGATTGATTGTGGTCACAAATCTATAAATGAATGTAAATACTATTGCCATGATATGAATAGCACATAGGAGAGGGAAAGAACTATACAGAAACTACGGAGTTTGTATTTCTTCTGAATGTGTCTGTATGTTAGCCTGTTATGCAATTGTGACAATATTTTGATTGTACCTTAAATTGTAACATTAATGTGCACAGAAAGAACACAACTTGTCTGATTAAATAGCCCGACATTTGTTTTTGCCATTAAAAACTGTTGCTTGACTTGTTGCTTAAAAGATTTACAATGAAATTTGCTACAGCCATCACATAACATTATAACTGCAGCAATGAAATATTTCTACCCGGCAACAGCTGTATTCTTCCCCGAGTAGCAACACAGAGCCTCAACGTGACGCAAGGCTTTTGGGCTTGATTAAGAAGTTTGTGCCACATAGACAGAATGGAGATAAAAAGTTCAACACCAAAGTCAGTCCAGATCACCTTGCCCTTGATCCAGTGCTAAAAGGTAGAACTCATCTGGTCCTTATATCATCTACTGACTTTTTACTGCTTTCTCACGTCTCTTGTCCTCTCTCCTCCCATTGGGCCGTGGTTTGGCTTATAAGACACAAAATAAAAATATACCCCGTTGGCTGCCACGGCAGCAAAGGGGCCGCCATGGCAACAAAAGACTTCAGGATGCTACCGCCGAGTATTTGAGCATTTCTATTGGACGGTTAGACTGCGCACTCAATTCAAGCACTCTGATAGGCCGACGCGGCTACTTGGCGGTGCATCTACTTGGGGTGAAGGGGGTAAGTTGTGTGAAAGTGGGCAGTAATTAAAACCAAGCATAAAGCTGTCAATACAAGCTTATGACCCAGTGTAATTAGCCTAATATGAATTCTCTCTCAGCAATGTGGTGGGCTCAACTGAACTGACTTGGCGTCCTTGTGTACGCCTGAAACACAGAAAGAGGATGAGAGACAGATAGGTACATAGACCGAATAACGGCTAAATAAAAATAAGGCAAGGCAGGTGGATACAAGGACTGATATATGGGTGAACAAATGCGTTGACTAAAAATTGGTAGATAGACAGGTAGGCAAAGAGAAAATTAAGCTTACTGTTGAAGAGAGAAAAGAGAAATGACATATCCAAAAATCTGTACAGTGTCTTTGCCTCTCTGTACGGGACGATCCCGTATGTTAATACACACACACACACACACACACACACACACACACACACACACACACACACAAACAAACACACAAAGTACTACTGGGTGCACGGACATCACACACGTACCACCACCGTATCCCCGTAACCCACTGACAAATCCTCAGGGGACGTGTAGCGGTCACCATTAAAAGGTCTTTCCAATACAAGCGCTGTTACCAAGGGGGCTAACAGTTAATTCGATTGGCTGGCTGGTAATCAGGAAGTGGGGTGCTCTGAGGGCCCGGTGATTAATGGCTCTGTTGCCCGCTCGTCATCTCCCAGAGCTCCTCCCTCCCTCCTCCTGTCATAAATTAGGACCTCGTAAATAAAGACGGCAAGACAATCAAGCAAACTCAATCAATTACATCGGTTCTCTGGCCTTGGCTCGTACGTCTGACAGGCGGGAATGCTAATGTTATTGTTGCTTCTAAAGGGCTAACCTGTCAATTAGCGTATGCACAACAGCATGAATATGGAGCCCACTCTTTAACACCTGTCGGATTACCTGTCTGTGTTTGCTGGTCCGCGTATACAAAGACTAACAGTTGAAGCGTTACTGTGTGCATGTTGGGACTTTTGAAATAATTTTGTTGTGAAAGTAGGCGTCATCTTTGGATGATCACATTGGATCCCAGATCACAAAAACACATCTCTTTCTACATTCACTGCGGAGTGCCGATAAGTCTGTATATGCAGAACTCATTTGGACTTTAGGTGTTCATTAGTATTTTCTGTTAACCTTCAGTTTTTTTTAGATAAATCATGTTATAAAATGCAGATTTATCCTTTTGAGAAAGACAGTAAAAAAATGGTTCATCACAAAATGCAGGTTGTTTGTGTTTTTAGTGACTGGAGAAGGATTGCTTTCTATTACCTCTCACGTCTGGATAATAATTAATGCAGTTAAAGTTTACTAGGAGTAACTAGTTAGCAAAGAAACTACACACAAACACGACTAAAAACACAAAGCATCGTACCTGGTACTCGTACACAGTAAACGGCTGCAGGGATTCATCTTTACAAGTAGTAGAGATATTCCTGTAAACCAGTGCCGCAGCATCACGTCTATCCGTGGTAGGGCCCAGTCTGCGGTACACTTCGTAATGGAGGACTCTGCCATTTGGCTGAGCTGGAGGGGACCAGGTGAGCAGAAAGGTGGTCTGTAGGCCGGTGTGCGTGTCGGGCTGAAGGTCCAACAGTGGCGCTGATTGTCCTGCAGGAGGAGCGTCCAGGGTGAGTGCAGAGGCCCAGTCGCTGGAGGAACAGCCGAGCACAGTGCACGCCTCCACCCTCACTTCATACCTGTGCACACGTATCAGCACACATTAAATGCAATAATTAGGGAGGTTTGTGTATTGTCTAAGAGACCATGGTGGGAAACAAGAAACTGAAAAGACATTTTTGACCATGATACCGGTGTAAGTACGGTTCATAAAAAGTCTTCCCGAGGAATATTTTAGTCAACAAGAGATCTGGTCCCTTCATATTTGTTATTCCTCCCCATATACCCTTCATCAAAGTATATATTACATATGTAAATAGAAACCTACATTGACCAGTTATTAGTTATTTTAACTTTCTTTTAATAAAAGAAATAAACTAAATGTTCTTCCTACTTGTACCATATTTCAAGCTCTAAAGATAACTGTGGAGATCTCCTTTGACTTACCTGTGGTGAGGAGCAAGCCCACGCAGAGTGGTGTGTTTGTCAGAGAAGTCACCGTCCTCCGGAGTGAACACGGTGCTGGTGATTCGGAGTTGGACGGGATCTCTTTGATAGACAGTATAACTCACAATGTCTCCATTAGGACGGGCCGGAGTACTCCAATCTACCCTCACCTAAAAACGCAAACATCACAAACACATTAAACCATTTACAGACAGCAGGAAGAGTGATGTTTCATATCGCGTTACATATTAGGACTGGATAGAGGGAGGACTCACCTGGTCGGGTCCCAGAGGCGTCAGTGTGGGGAGACCGACACCAGAAGGAGCCGACGGAGGAGTCTTTGCTGTGGCTGCTGTGCTGCTCACTGCTCCTTTGCTGTTGTTGGCCCTGACAACGTAGCTGTATTCTACACTTGGCACCAGTGTGAAGTCGTGGTAATGGACCTCAGTCCCGACATAGATAACCTCCCCATCTCTGCGGAGTTCATAACCTGTGATGATGCCATTAGGGTGCTCTGGTGGTCTCCAGATCACCTCCACTGACTCTGGGCCGGTGACCTTCAAGGGAAAGATTGAAGGTCAAATAGAACTAGAAGTAGCATTAACATTTTAAAACACCCCCAATTTATTAGTATAATAAAAGATAATAATGAAAGTCATAGCAAAATGATTCTTCTTGTTATTGAATAATTGGCTTTGATGAGGCTTGGTGAAGTTTGAAAGAGGCTAAATTCAATTTAATTAAAATAGTCTTGGATGAATGGGGAAACGTGAACGCAAATTCATTTTCCTTTCCAGAATCTCTCTAGGCTGAGATCTACATATTGGGATATTGCACACCTGGTAACAGAGCTTCCACTGGGAGTCTAAGATAAACAAACACACCTTAAGAGTCGGGGAGGCCAGGCCAGTGGGAGGAGCCTCCTCAGTCACTGCGGACATTGTGGCGCTGGCAGTGCATCCACCGTTGGTACAAGCATAAAGGACCAGATGATATGATGTGTGTGGTCGCAGATCTAACAACTCTGTATTTAGCTCCCTCCCACGATAAGTTTCTTCGTTGTTCAATTTCAGGACATATTCAGTGACCTCTCCGTTCTGTGTCAGCGGTTTACTCCAGGAAATGTTTATACTGTTGGAAGTGACGCTGTCCGCGGTGGGAATCTCCACTGTGGCAGGTGGAGCCTCTAGAGTGGTGATGTTTGTATGGGGGCTGGTGATACATCCCTCAGACGTGCACGCTATGACTGAGTAGCTGCAGAGAAGAAAAGAGCAGAATGAAAGTCAAATCATCTGTTCTTTGAGTTCGTTCATTTGAAGGAAACACAATGGTACGAGTGAAGGCAAAGCAATACCTATATGTTGAAAATGGCAGAAGTCCTTCGTCCATGTAGCTGAGGACAATCGGATCAAAACTAAATGAGAAACTGACGTTGTTTCTCTCAATCCTGTAGGACTGGAGAATCCCATTGGGCTCCAAAGGAGGGGTCCAAGACACCAACACCGCACTGGGCTGGCCTTGGAGGTGACTCACTTTTGGGGGGGCTAGACCCCGAGGAGGGGCCTGTCTGGTCGTCACAGTAACCCAGGGGCTGTGGGTGTGTCCTGCGGGGTTGTGAGTCCGGACAGTGAATTGGTACTGTGTCCAGGGACGCAGACCAGTCACTGTATATGAGACGGAGTCAGCATGTTGTGGGGAGGATTCTCTAAACAGCACCTTTTGGGGATAAAAATAATTAATAGTTAATTGTACCGTGGGAGGCCCATTTCTATTCAATGACTGTGATTGACATGGATAGTAGCGGCACCTTGGTATTCAATCAAGGCAATTACAAGTAGTCAAATTGACCATGAACTTCAAAATGTCTGCCTGTTTAGTTTCACCGACCTTTCCACTTTCAGTATCCTCTTCATTGCTTCTTCCTATCTCCACTTCCTCCAAAATTCTCCCAAGTAAATAATACTCTCCGATTGGCCCGTTGGGCTGGGAGGGAGGGCCCCAGGTAAGGGTCACACGGTCTGGGCCAATAAAGAGAGGCCTGGGAGGGGGCTGTAAAGCAGGTGGAGCTGCTACTGTGGTGACAAGCTGGGGTAGAGTATGTGTGCAGCCTGCTACGGTGCAAGCTTCAAGAATCAAAGAATACGTGGTCCATGGCTCCAAACGACGAAACAGGAAGCTGCGCAATAGTCCGCTGAATTCCATGTTCCCCTCACTGTACAAGTTGTACATCTGCAAAAAAGTGGACAGAAGCCAAGAGGAAAGAAAAGTATGTGGTGCAGTGTTAGAGGAGGAGAGAAAGGTACCAGGAATTTATCATTTATAGGACATAGTCGAAGATTGCAGGGGCCAAGATGCCAAGCAGGTGAGAGAAATATCATACTTATATCATATACTATCATACAAGTATGTGGTATGGTGCAAGTCTATTGCTTTGCACATAGCATATATGTGAATATGGTGTGGGTTTTGTGTATGTACCGTGATTATTCCATTTGGAGCACTTGGCTCATCCCAGACAAGCAGCAGCGCTCTGCCCTGCTCTCTCTGCTCCACTGTGAAGTTAGCCAGGCCAGCCGGAGAAGCCTCCAGGGTCATGATGGTAACCCACGGACTGGACACGCTACCTGAGGGTGGCAACGCTGTGCTCAATGCAGTTGTTCTGCTGTTAGCGCTAACGCCATCTACCACTGACTGATCGGAATCAACCTACCTGCCTCGTTCACAGCCTCCACTCGTAGGCTATACTGGCTGTACGGTTCCAGACCAAATACGCTCGCCTCTCGGACCGATCCCTGAGAGAGGAGACACACCGAGGTATGATTGAAGGGCGTGGTTGTAGAGAGGAGGAGACATGGGAGTGGGCAGAGGGGGGACAGGGGAAGGATTTGGAAAGAGCCAAAAGAAACTAAGTGAGTACCATGGCATCGCAAGAGAAGTGAGCAAGTTAGTAACACCAAAAAACCCTGCAGGAATAAAAACCAGTGCATTACTCATTCACATTGGAAATGAAGAGGAGCACCGAAACAATGGCAGGCTAAGATGACATGGGATTTGTGATATCAACATTTCAACATTCAGGCCGTGGTAAAGTAAGTAGACACCAGAGAAGTGGGAGCGGCATAGAAAGACTGGCAGGCAGACGGCCGTCCCTTGTGAGTAGATTCAAAGCTTCCAGAATGAGTGTTTATGTCACATATGCACCCTTTCAAATCAACACGCGCACACAGAGAGTAAGTCTGCCAGTAGCTTTAGGCAGTGGGACCCAGCCCAATACCCTGGCAGACACAGGGGTAGTGTGTGTGTGTGTGTGTGTGTGTGTGTGTGTGTGATACAGTGGGAAAACCATTTACTAATTGATAACAGACACACTGTTGTTCCAGAAGGCCCTGATGTGAGATGACACGGTGTAGTCGGGGAGCACTAGGCTCCACTACTGCCGGCTTGTTTAGGACTGAGCTTTAAAATGAGTGATGTTTCTAAGCGTGTGTGTGTGAACATATTTGTTTGATTGCACAACACAGGGGGCTGTGTTTCCTCATGTGTTGAGTCTGCAGTTTAAAAGAGGAAAGTGTCTGTTCAGGAATGTATGCTTCCAGTTAAGCGAGCATGTGTAAAGAGATTAACTGTTAACCCAGTTAAATTCAGCAGCGAGAGGATCAAAAAAACTCCAATTCAAGCTAAATCAAAAGAAAACCCTGACAAATCACCGTAGCCTGGCACCAAGGATGAACTGTGTGAACAACAACCAGAACGCGTGTATTCACAGTTTTCATGTCTGAGAGCCAACGTGTTTTTATTCCACAGTAAAATAGGATTAATAAGTCCCCAGACACCTCGACACAAGCTAAATCCTCCTGCAAATCACAGCACTTCTCAGTAGAGAGAGAGAGAGAGGGAGGCAGGGAGGGACACAAAGAAAAAGACACAGGGATGGAGAGACCTAGAACGAGAAGGAGGCGGAGGAAGTGAGAAATAAAGGTCAAAAGAAAAAAAGATCGGGCAGATATTAAGAATATATAAGTAAGTCGAGGTAGGACAATTAGAAAAGAGGGAAACAAGAGAAAGGGGTGAGTAAGTTAATGATAAAAGGAGAGGAAGAGGGGTGTAAGAAAATCAACGACAGAGAGAGATTGAGTGAAATGGTAAAAAAAAAGGAAGATGGAATTGAGCTAAAGTGGAAGAGAAAAAAAAGGATAGATGTGGCAAAAGGGAGAGACAGATTAAGTGAGCGAAAATCTCTCCACCTTAAAGTCAGTGAAATATGTGAAGCATGTGGCCTATAAAGCGGTTAACATATGCACATTGTCAATAGCAGCATCTGGCGCCGGCAGCTTTTATAGGAGCATGGAGACTCTGCTTCAGGCCTCTAGATGGCAATACATTCAAACACTTTATCACTGAAACACACCGCATTAAGGGCCTCCGAACACTCACTCAACACACACGCACAAACACACACACTCAACAATCAAGCGCTATGAAATTCCCCACCTCAGCCTGTTAAGAGAACACAAACACACACGTCCAGGTCTGCAGACAGGCAGCAATCAAATGGTGCAACACTTAAACACACTCCTATTACATTAACAGCTTTCTCAAAAGGGATTTCTCTCTCACTCATACATGTGTGGAGACTTGGAACATCTAAGCCTTCTCTGCTGGCCAGAACAGAATCACAAAGTCATAGATTTTTTTTATTTTTTTAGTCAGCCACCAATTGTGCAAGTTCTCCCACTTAAAAAGATGGGAGAGGCCTGTAATTTTCATCATAGGTACACTTCAACTATGAGAGACAAAATGCAAATCACAGAAAATCACATTGTAGGATTTTTAATGAATTTATTGGTAAATTATGGTGGAAAATAAGTATTTGGTCACCTACAAACAAGCAAAATGTCTGTCTCTCACAGACCTGTAACTTCTTCTTTAAGAGGCTGGAAAATAAGTATTTGGTCAATAAACAAAAGTACATCTCAATACTTTGTTATATACCCTTTGTTGGCAATGACAGAGGTCAAATGTTTCCTGTAAGTCTTCACAAGGTTGTCACACACCGTTGCTGGTATTTTGGCCCATTCCTCCATGCAGATCTCCTCTACAGCAGTGATGTTTTGGGGCTGTCGAAGGGCAACATGAACTTTCAACTCCCTCCAAAGATTTTCTATGGGGTTGAGATCTGGTTTTAACTCAAAATCTCACAATACATGGCCCCATTCATTCTTTCCTTTACACAGATCAGTCGTCCTGGTCCCTTTGCAGAAAAACAGCCCCAAAGCATGATGTTTCCACCCCCATGCTTCACAGTAGGTATGGTGTTCTTTGGATGCAACTCAGCATTCTTTCTCCTCCAAACACGACGAGTTGAGTTTGTACCAAAAAGTTCTATTTTGGTTTCATCTGACCATATGACATTCCCCCAATCCTCTTCTAGATCATCCAAATGCTCTCTAGCAAACCTCAGACGGGCCTTGACATGTACTGGCTTAAGCAGGGGGACACGTCTGGCACTGCAGGAATTGAGTCCCTGGCGGCGTAGTGTGTTACTGATGGTAGCCTTTGTTACTTTGGTCCCAGTTCTCTGCAGGTCATTCACTAGGTCCCCCGTGTGGTTCTGGGATTTTTGCTCACCGTTCTTCTGATCATTTTGACCCCACGGGGTGAGATCTTGCGTGGATACCCGGCTCGAGGGAGATTATCAGTGGTACTCCCACAGTTGATTTCTTCACACCAAGCTGTTTACCTTCTGCAGATTCAGTCTTCCCAGCCTGGTGCAGGTCTGCAATTTTGTTTCTGGTGTCCTTTGCCAGCTCTTTGGTCTTGGCCATAGTGGAGTTTGGACTGTGACTGTTTGAGGTTGTGGACAGGTGTCTTTTATACTGATAATAAGTTCAAACCGGTGCCATTAATACAGGTAACGAGTGGAGGACAGAGGAGCCTCTTAAAGAAGAAGTTACAGGTCTGTGAGAGACAGACATTTTGCTTGTTTGTAGGTGACCAAATACTTATTTTCCACCATAATTTACCAATAAATTCATTAAAAATCCTACAATGTGATTTTCTGTGATTCGCATTTTGTCTCTCATAGTTGAAGTGTACCTATGATGAAAATTACAGGCCTCTCCTATCTTTTTAAGTGGGAGAACTTGCACAATTGGTAGCTGACTAAATACTTTTTTGTCCCACTGTATATAAAATTTCCCATTAGGTTGTTTCTCACTGCGCAGGTCCTGTCTTCCTCTGTTGCTCAGTGCAGCTTGTTTTCATCCAATCAGATTCAGCCCCGTTGTCTCTATGTGGGAGAGGCCTATAGGTAGCTTTAAACATTAAAGTGGGGGACGATATTGTTGATTGTCATAGTCTTTAACCGACCGGCTCTTTAGTTTGACATGTTGGCCGTATTCTTTGAAGTGCCAGTAGTACCTCATAAGTATGTCTGTATTTACGAAAAGCGCAGCACTAACCTATTAACTTACCTACTAACCTACCCACTACATCTCAGTATTTAGTAAGAGTACAGGTTAAACCTTTTCTGTAAATAGTGAATAGCATTTGGTAAGTGAACTGCTTTTGTGGATTTACATCTGCAGTAGCATGTTAATGTCTCTATCAGGTTGCGTTTAGTTTATAGATATTATTCCCTCTGATATAAATAATATTTAATTGATCCATGCGCTTCGGTGTGCACTGTTTTAGAGACGATGTTTTGATGGATTGTTTTGTCATGCTTTGTTGTAAATACATGCGACTGGTTCTTGTGAGTTTGCTCTTGTCATTGTTAATTACATTGAAAATGAGAAAAAAAACAGACGGTTGCAATATAATTTCCCAACATTTGTTTCTGTTACGTATGATATTTGTACTCACCACATGACTATGATGTGTGTAGTATTAATCATTTTGGATGTTTAAGCAACAACTGTGAGGATAGGGCTATACTGCAATTAAGTGGGTATTTATGATTCCACTGTAAGGAAGGATTTTACATTTCTACTACGGCACCAACCATCACAATAGCTGCAATGATTGACCAAAGCCATAGCAGAAAAAACTGTTTTGATTAATGATGAGCTTGGAGCTTCCTCTTTTGTAAAAAAAGTCCAACCTATGAAGCCAACATGAATAGCTACAATGTAACATATGAAAGAAAAAGGTTTTCGTCAACCTAAATTCAGTGAACATGTGTGCGGATGATCAAAGTAACTACTTAATCATGCCAAATGCAAAAGACCAGAGAAAGAAGTTGAGAGAAAGGGAGAGCAAGAGAGGGGGGGGAGAGAGAGTTCAGAGAGATTTGCACAAATGTAAAGGAAAGAAAGTGTAAACAAGACAGAGGGGAGAGAGACAATGATGGGGAACGAAGGGAAGAGACAGGAAGAGGTGTCACTAATTCATACATTAAAGAGCCCTCAGATCTTACATGGCTCAACACAACTTAGCATTGAGGGCAAGCAATTTATTCAATCTTTTATTTCCTCATTCCGTCCTCTCTTTGGTTTGTGAGCTGTGCTAAAACCGGGGTCCACCGGAAAATGTGTGTGCTTTTAAATGTATATCCTATGCAAAAGGGTCAGTGTACAGGTGTGCTCCATCTGCAAATATATCTGTATGTGTGTTACTTGTGCTCATTTGCATGCAACCTAACAAGACCGCGTAACCATGCATCTGTTTTTGTACCCGTGCGTCCCTAAAAAATGCCCGATTGTGTGTGTGTGTGTGTGTGTGAGATATTCAGGTGGAGGGGCATGGTGCGGCCGGGGGGACAGTGTGTGATACTAATTAAGAATAACCATGT